GTTAGTAAGTTAGAAATCGTTTCTGTTAATGTCCCCAGTGATGAAACGATCTCTTCAGTCGAAATGAAAATGGCGAGCTGAGAATTGTTGCAACAGCCAAATGAAGCGAGATATTTTGTAAAGCTTTAAAATACTATTTGCTGCACGCTATATCTTGAGCACTCGAAAAGGCAACAAGATAACCAGTATTGTCTCAAGCCCTCTGAGTTATGTTATTAAATAGATATTAATTTTTTTTTATATGTCTGTCTCAGGATATCACATTGTGTATCATTTGCTCTTCACAATTTAAGCTTATGCACGTAAAGGAAAAACAACCACAAAACTAGCTTAAGGTTTTTTTTTTACTTGCATTTTTTATTTTTCGACTTCCTCACAGGATACTAGACTTGTCACTGCATGCACAGCCCGATGTAAATAAATGCTACTTTCTTTTTATTTATATACCGCATATTTTATGATGAAGCAGTGTCGAATGTGCAGCAAATACTCATTGTCTGTATTGTTTTTTTATTTGTTTTTGTGATATTAGAGAGTAGACCAATTTGGTTTTGCTATGCTCTTTTATAACACATCCGTGCCATTTTAGAGAATAATGATTGCATTGTCGTAATGCCAACTGGTGGTGGAAAGAATGGGTGAATATCATGAAGTTCTTGGGATTCACCATTGTTGTTACACCTGTGATTGCTTATACATGGTCCCTTTCTTGGCAAACCTGTGGTAGCAAAAAATTCCCTTGAAAAGTCTTCTGAAGGAGTAGGTTTTTTGACCTGCTTTGGAGTTGCAGAGGAATACCAGAGCATATAATAATTGTCAATGAGCACAGAATTGCCAAATGAATGAACGTTAAATTAAGTATACTTTAGATGGTTCTGCAGAACTACTAACCCCCAACCCCCTTCCTAGAAATTTTAACTACAAAATTATAACCAAGATACAAGCATCGAATGGAAAGAACAGTAAAAACAGGCCCCTGGACAAACTAGAAGAATATGCAGTAGATTTGAAAACACTACATTTTTAGTAGGCTGATGTCAGGTCTATTAACAGTGTCAAGCAATGAAAAATGCCAGCTGTTTTAAGTAAAAACCAGACGCTCAGCCACGCAAAACCCTCACCCTTTTCCCTTGCTTCCACCTCACCCAGAGCAATAAAAAATATTGCTTCTATTCCTTAAATTAGTGCCACTGGACATTGAATTGATGTATGTTTTATGAACTTCTGCCGTGATTATGGAACTGAGATGTCGTCAGGTCATTGAACTATGGTCAGCAAAAGAGAAACCTGCACCCCTAATCCAACTTAAACTCGATCTAGCTGTCTTGCCCAAAGTAATAAACTACTTTGCTCCTATAATTCCTTTATTTTGGACAATGGATATTGGGTTGATGTGTGTTTTTTGAGCTAATACTGAGATAATAGCATTTGTACAATTGCCCCTTCCCCTCAGAAAAAATTGCTGTACACGGGCTACTACGAGATTATTGAACTGGCATGTTGTCATTGAACTGACTTCTGGTAAAAAAGGGTTAGCCCGTTTCCGGGCCTTCTTTTACATTTGTGTGCCCCAATAAAGTTACATTGAGACTACAGACCTAGAGTTTGAATGAGATGTAGTAGTGTGTTAATTGAACCATTGTGTTTTAGCAGAACTATATACTTAATTCAACCTTTATTCAAACATTTTTGTCTTGCAATAGGCGTGACATCATGCCAGGCGTCTAGCTCAACAAAATTAGTGGTGTAACGATTAATCGAATTCTCGATTAATCGCGATTATGACCATTCGGTTCGATTTACGAGTTCTTTGCTTCCAGGTTTCGATTTTGGTTTGATTTTTGCACACCTTTTCCATGGTGCCCTCAGCGAGTTACTATATGCTGAAATAAGAATCCAGAACTCTTTAATGTGCGTCTTTGATTGACGAGCAAAGACAATAGCAGTTCGTGCGCCATTTTGTTTTCCCTGGTAAAATGCTGTCCTTCAACCTCCCCATGCGAATTTCCAAATAAGGCAAACCATGTGCGCCCTTTGTCAGGTTCTCCAACATGACAACGAACCAGGCCACTGTGAATCCTCCTATCCCTGTTACTATTCTAATTTTGAGGGTTTAGGGTTCCATTTGGTTTACATTACGCGTTATGTTGTGGTTAGCGTTAGATAACATCGAGTGAAGCCATATTGGACACCTTATGAATTTTACACAACGCATTATTTCCATGATGGAACGAGACCGGAATGTAGAATGAGGCTGGAATAGCTGAAGAAACCCAAACTACAGAGCGCCAGTTATGGAGAGAACACAGTAGAGAGTTAAGAGGCGATGTCTGTAAGGATCGAGCAAAGTTGGAAATCGGGCCAAAAATCACAACTTTTGAAACTTTGTCAGAATAAAGCTTTTGACATGCCTGATTGAATGACATAATACGTTTTCTTCAAAACTCAAAATTGTTATTTTGGGACGTGTTCACTTTGAGCGGACATTAACGGCTGTGAAAACTGAAAAAAAAGCAACATTTGAAAAATCGGTTAAAAAATTCCAAAAACTATGTAGCCAGTGAGACTTAATCCAGATCTTAACACGAATCTAGAGATATAAAAAATATATATTCCATTGGGACCCGTTATTTTTTTGCCTAGAAAATGTATGTTCAAAGATGGCTCCTTTTTCCTTACACTTGTTCAACCAGGGACTATGCTATGGTTCCCGGGAAATATCTCTAGAAGTAGATGGACTTCGGAAAATTTGTTTACACTGTTTGAAAGTACTTATATTGGTGCAGTTTTTGTTATAAAAATTTCCTCGGGCAGTCATATTGTGTTGACAGGAGAACGACTCAATAATGCCGAAAATTCGAGTTTTCACGAGACGCCATTTTGGGTGACACAGACATGGGGACTGGTTACGAGTTTTATCGTATCCAGCTACGGCAGTAAAGACACTATAAAATAACAGAACTTGGTAAGTTTAATATTTTCCGGAGGTATATCTGATTTATGACTGGTTTTGGTCATTTTAAACGCAACGAGCCATGCAAGGATGATGTTGCATTACTGATGAAAGAGTCTTTTCTTTAACTTTTCAGCAACTTTCTCACAGAAGAACTCTCTCTTTGCTTACAAATGCCCTTTCATTTAATTTGTAGGTAAATACCCCACAATTTGTTTTTCAAATTACATGTCATCGGATAATATACAGGTTTTGTTCGGGAGTGGGGGGTTAGAAATAACTGGTGACTTCAATTAAATGCGGTAAAAAAATCTTGATCCACGAGAAAAGCATAACAAATTTGGTTCCAGAGTAGGACCTTTTGGTCCTATGTTATAACCTAGAACCAACGCCCCCTACCCTCAGTCCGTAAGGCGAGGGAGTCACATTTGATAAATAAGGCCATGACTCTTGAACCTAATGGCCTAAACCGCCGTGATGAATTATTGTAACCTATATCCTTGTTAGTTGTTCTTTTCTTTTTTATGTTGTACGTTATTTCCGCCTCCCCCTTTTAAACAATTTTTTTGCGACATCCTCCAACTCTATATAATATTGTAATGTCCATCATAAATTCAGTAACATCTGTAAACCTACAGAAGAAGGCTGGTATGGCCCGCTGAAATATTGTTGTATAAAAACAGTACACCTTGTTAATCAGCCTTGCAGTAGTCTTTGGACTTCTCTTTTTTTGTTTTCAGTAATATTTTAGCTGATTAGATCTCTTATCTAGAGATCCAACGTTAACAACCAGCGGGATCTTTGTCCACCGCTTTTGCAGTAATTATAGTTACCAGAATTACTGCTTACAGGAGCACCTTTTCAAAAATTCAACAATCGCAATAGAATAGACATTCTTCTTTCGAGCTTTAACTTTAATGGAAAAGTGACTAACTATGGAACGCATCTGAGTGATCTTGAGGCTTTCGATCTCTGACTCTGTCATCAAGCACAGGTTTTTGCCAGAGAAAAGCAAGGGATGAGTGATTTCCTGCCGTAACACTTCCATCACATCTGAGTGGACGGCCGCCTGCTGCCTCGCAAATTCTTCAGCCTCATCATCGGAGTCGGTGGCATCTCTTCTCTTACATGCCATCCTAGAGAAGAACGAGGTGATTTGTTGTGGACGTAGGAACTCCTTTACCGTGAAGATTCGCTTCCCGCTCTGATCTCTCAAACATCTCATCTCCTTCGCGACGTCATCTGGGTTTGCTTTAATCCCCTTAGTCTCGCCATGCTTAAACTTTTCCTCCAAGTACCTCCTTTGCTTGGAATTAAACCGATGGCGTGGCATGGCGGACTCCCGACAAGCCCATCCCTCTGGCAGACAAGGGGAACCACTGTGTATTTCTGTATCCGGTGTCGTCACTTCAGGATGGCTCCCTCCAGCCTCAAGACGCTCTGCGTAACTGACCTTCGCTCGATCAATAAGTGAGACACTCTCGGCCCGACGGAATTGGTGTTTACCGTACATGAGGTGCTGCTCCAGCCGTCCGTATGTCATGTAGGACTCGGTGCATCCGTCCTCTGGGCATGGAAACAGGAGACTATCAGCTAGGTTGGCATTTGCTTGTTGGGTTATTTCAGCGGTAGAGCCCTCCTTGAGTAGGCTATCTGTATGGGATGTCGCCGGCTTTGGCTGTCTGGGTTTCACTGACACAAACTCTCCTTTCCCTGGCCTTTCAGCTATCCATTCGAACTGGTTATCGTGTGGTATTCCTGAGAGAAAAGACCAAAATAAGCACGTTTTTATTAATAAGGGTATAATTTATGATATAGTGGCATGGGGTTATAGCTTTATTGTTAAGTGTTACCATGCATCCCCTTTGAGAACAAATGGGTAAAGTGTGCGTGCTATGAAACCAGTATAATGTAGCGGACTGAGATCCATTTTAACACGAACGCGAGTAATTTTCCTTTACCACCTCTTGGTTGAACATACCTGAAAATGACGTCCAGGATCGGAAATTCCCTGCACCAATACCGTACGCCTTGAAGGCCTTTACACCCGCTGCCGTGATCTCGAAGTTGGACAAACTACTGATGCCTTCCCACTTGATACTCTTTGTTTTCACTGTGGTCTTGGGAACAGGAACAACCGTAACTCGCACACCCGCAATGCCCTCATCGGACTCTATAGCCCTCTTAAGGTCAGCAGGTGTTGTGACGGAGTGACCTTGGTTGATGTATTGCTTCACGTGCGTCTTGATTTGCGCTGCTTTCCTATCGCATGGACCTTTACCACCTTGTGGATCACTGAAATCAATCCGGTAGAGATCCATGTTGGTTCTCTCTTGCAGTATTTTGCTGGCTAAAATTGTATTTGCGCAGTGATAGCAGCCTGCGTTGTCTTGGCGGTAGACAGCTCTGGTTAACTCGGAGTGTTCCTGCTTCAACGTTTTCAGTACATGCTCCATCACGGTTACTACTGTGTGGCTGTCCTGTAGACCCGACTCAATTATGTGCACAAACGTCAGCGCGACCAGCTCCCCTCGCTGTTTGCTCTGACAAACTGTCAAGTGCCAAGAGATACCTCTCTTACCAAAGAAATCAGCCTGCGTTTCCCTGTACTGGGTGGGTAAGAACTTCATGGCGAAATCCTGTGTGATCGGGACCGAGTCCTCCTGAAGACTATCGATGATATCTGTTCTGGCTGTATCCTGGTTAACCATGCGCAGCTGGTGAGCCTTCCAGGAACGGACTCCGTCACTTGCGGTTCTTGCATTAAATAGGAGGTCATCCTGAAGGTCCTGCGGGAGGTTGGTTGACTGGATAAAGGACAAAACTGAGTCTAAAGACTAAAAGAGATATAAGATATAATTAGATAGAATTATCTTGCCCTAGGCCGGGCTTACTTATTATTGGCTACATACAGTCTTCAAGGTCTCGCAGCTCTCGCAACGTTGATTATGTTGGTGATCACAGTGGTGGCGATAGCTCTCCTTTTTAGCATCACTGAGTGCAAATACTCTGCAGTGGTCAGGAATAGTACTAGCCAAGGAGCAGTGGATCTGTGAACTAGACAATCATGCTGTTACACCTTCACACAATGAAAATGCATGTGCAGACTCTATATAGGCACTAATCATTTACCTTGTAATCACTTTTGATGTACTGTTTTAGGTATCTAAAGTTGTCCTTGAGTTCTGCAATTACAGCCTCATTAGCCCCATATTTCACCAGGGTGTCAAGGAGCGATAATAAATCATCAAATCCGCGCCCGCCTTCTGCTGCGTAGCTGTCTAGCCCCTGTAAACTCTTTCGAACTGACGCCACACATGCCTCAGACAAAATTCTAAACAGCGTACGGCTCGAGAGTGGAGCGTAATTCACTTCACTGCAATATTGATTATATTACTTGATCAGACGAGATGGCAACATTGTCCTTATTACATTGGGAATGTCGATCTTTGTGCCGCTGCTTAATGTCAGGGTTTTCCGACCAAATGGGAGGTCCTGGACGATTGTAGAAGACGTGATAAAGTCCAGAAAGTGATCTATTTTGGCAGGGTCCACTTTTTCTCTTATCTGTTTGGCCTCCGACTGTACAGTAAGTCCTGCGCCTACCTCAAGCGCGTATCTTCTTGCCGCGGTGAACTCATATCTTGTTAGTCGAGGTATGTATGCTACCAGTTCTGCATAAGTCACTTTACTGGCCACGAGACTTAATAGTTGGCGCCTTGTCTTGGATGTGTCCGCTTGCTTGTAAGACTCCACTACAGCTAATAGTAGATCACTGCCATTATGCACAGACCCAAGGAGGTGGCTAACTTCGTTCTTTCCTCTCACTGCCTCCCACAATTCTGGAGCGGACTGCGGCGCTACGGTTTTTAAGACCTCTGAGATAATTGTACTAGCTTTACGGATGTAGCATTCACGTGTTTTCGAGGTGGCATCAGTCCATGGACGCTTCATAATAGACCCAAGAGGCCCAGTACTGCACTCATCCACAAACCATTGCAATGCGGCTACCTTACCTTCGTCAGTGTTATCTGGAGGTTTAAGGTATTGCGCACACGTAGCTTGGCTGATGCTGTCATCAAGTGTTGACGTTGTGGACTGCGTCTCCTCCTGGGACGAGGAAGGCTGGAATAGACTGCTGTCAGGGCTAAAGGCCAAATGCTCAAGATCTCGTGAAATCTTTTCTATTCCCTGTTCTTGATTAAATCCTGGGAAGCTTACCTTACTGGCTCTAGAAACGCCCTCAGTGGCATACGTTAAAAATGAAAACATAATGTAAACTATTACACAAGTGCTAGCAGACAATGGCATAACAACCTCTTCCGTGGGTTATACGACAACTGTCTTCATTCGGCATTCTTTACAAAGTTTGGATGTCGTTTTGCAGGCCCTTCTTTAAGAGTAAAGCTATTACCTCATATTTCTTCTCTCTTGAAACGTGTAATGTTTTTATAAATAATTTTTACTATTGTTTATATTGTTATCATCATTAGTACCATTATCATAATCACTATCATTATAACTATTCTTTCACAAAATTGGCCAGGGCGATGCGCTTTCTCTTTTTTTCCTGCCCTGTCCCTTGATTTGTCCACGCCTAACGCAACGACTGGGTACGAGTCTGCCCCATTACTAGCTTATCGCCACAGGTTACGCAACACAATAGTTGCCTGCGGCTTTATAGTTGTTGAGGAGAGGAAAAAAAACGAAAAGAGAAGGATCAGCCGGCTTAACAGCCATAAGGAATCCACTATAGTCATTACGTTCACTATTTTCCCTCACCTCTTGTGAATTCTTTTGATGTGTTGTAATGCTTGTGTTCAGCTTTTCACGACACTGCCGACAGATTGCTTAAAGAAAGATAACATTCGAGAAGGGCTTTGTTAGTGAATACGGTAGTTTGTGCAACATTTCTAATAAAGAAAAATAATACGGTTGAATACCTGAGCCGATGGGTATAAGTGATCCAGTCCTGTTGAAGATTTCCTCTGACAGCTTCCTACCATAACGAGCCGCACCGTCTTAGCAACCAAAAAAATTTGTTTATCAAGCTGAGATAGGGGACTAAAAGTCCCCTATCTCAGCTGGATACTCAGAAGCTTGTAACATTCACTATTCCATTTATCTCTGATCATATTTCGCATCTAATACGATAGAGGCGTCAATTTTCGCGCCATCATGTCATCATTCTAGGGCGAGAAATTTAATTAAAGCGCGGCATTCAACAAATGTACGGCTCAAGTTTCGGCTAAAATTATTCAGTGCCGTCAAAGAAAAAAACATATTATTAAGGTCTGCGTATAAAGTCGATCACATTGCTAACACAGACAAAAACGCTTAAATATCTCCTACAAAATGAACGGCTTAGTTTGTTTTTTCTAAGGGTCAAACTGCTACTATATATCCCAGAAGCGCTCAGGCATAATAATATGCCAGGACTTCTACCTGGATGAACCAGAAAGGATATAGAACAACTACCTATTTTTTTTCTTTTTACGGCTACGGGTCGAAATGCTAAACGTGTTATATATCCTAGAAGCGCTCAGGCATAATAATATGCCAGGACTTCTACCTGGGTGAACCAGAAAGGATATAGAACAACTGCCTAATTTTTTTTTACGTTTACAGGTTGAAATGCTAAACGTGTTATATATCCTAGAAGCGCTCAGACATAATAATAACATGCCAGGACTTCTACCTGGATGAACCAGAAAGGATATAGAACAACTGCCTAAATTTTTTTTTTACGGCTACGGGTTGAAATGCTAAACGTGTTATATATCCTAGAAGCGCTCAGGCATAATGATATCATGCCAGGACTTCTACCTGGATGAACCAGAAAGGATATAGAACAACTGCCTAAATTTTTTTTACGGCCACGGGATGAAATGCTAAACGTGTTATATATCCTAGAAGCGCTCAGGCATAATGATATCATGCCAGGACTTCTACCTGGGTGAACCAGAAAGGATATAGAACAACTACCTAATTGTTTTTTACGGCTACGGGTTGAAATGCTAAACGTGTTATATATCCTAGAAGCGCTCAGGCATAATGATATCATGCCAGGACTTCTACCTGGATGAACCAGAAAGGATATAGAACAACTGCCTAAATTCTTTTTTACGGCTACTGGTCGAGATGCTAAACGTGTTATATATCCTAGAAGCGCTCAGGCATAATAATATGCCAGGACTTCTACCTGGATGAACCAGAAAGGATATAGAACAACTGCCTAAATTTTTTTTACGGCTACGGGTCGAGATGCTAAACGTGTTATATATCCTAGAAGCGCTCAGGCATAATTATATCATGCCAGGACTTCTACCTGGATGAACCAGAAAGGATATAGAACAACTGCCTAAATTTTTTTTTTTTTTTACGGGTCGAAATGCTAAACGTGTTATATATCCTAGAAGCGCTCAGGCATAATGATATCATGCCAGGACTTCTACCTGGATGAACCAGAAAGGATATAGAACAACTGCCTAAATTTTTTTTTACGGCTACGGGTCGAAATGCTAAACGTGTTATATATCCTAGAAGCGCTCAGGCATAATGATATCATGCCAGGACTTCTACCTGGATGAACCAGAAAGGATATAGAACAACTGCCTAAATTTTTTTTTACGGCTACGGGTCGAAATGCTAAACGTGTTATATATCCTAGAAGCGCTCAGGCATAATGATATCATGCCAGGACTTCTACCTGGATGAACCAGAAAGGATATAGAACAACTGCCTAAATTTTTTTTTACGGCTACGGGTCGAAATGCTAAACGCGTTATATATCCTAGAAGCGCTCAGGCATAATGATATCATGCCAGGACTTCTACCTGGGTGAACCAGAAAGGATATAGAACAACTACCTAATTGTTTTTTACGGCTACGGGTTGAAATGCTAAACGTGTTATATATCCTAGAAGCGCTCAGGCATAATGATATCATGCCAGGACTTCTACCTGGGTGAACCAGAAAGGATATAGAACAACTACCTAATTGTTTTTTACGGCTACGGGTTGAAATGCTAAACGTGTTATATATCCTAGAAGCGCTCAGGCATAATAATATCCCAGGACTTCTACCTGGATGAACCAGAAAGGATATAGAACAACTGCCTTTTTTTTCTACTCGTCGAAGTTCTAAACGTGTTATTCTTAGAAGCGCTCAGGCTTAATAATATGCCAGGTTTCCAGCGAATGATTTTGCGGTGCGCAGGAATGGACAATTTACCCGACTTGTAAACAGATATTTCCTTCAGCCGATTGTGTCTCATGCAGGAGAATGTCATGTCTGCGTTGTTTTGTTTCTACTGAAGTTTTATCAAAGAAAGCTCTTAAGCGAAAATAGGGAGATCGCAATTTATACTCTTACGAACTATAAATTAGGGCTGACCTGTAAGACGCGTTGAATTGTGCCGCCATCCTTCAAAATATAACCTGGCTGCGTTTAGGGAGACAATTTCCTCTTCCATCCAGATGTACTTGGTATACGTGTTTGCGCGAATCTTCAGACGAAGAATTGGGTATACACTGATTCGAATGGCTTGGCGATACTAAGTGCTTAAGTCTACTTACCGATTACAACATGTTTTGGAAGTATTGAGAAGCCCGCCAAACGAAGTTGTCACAGCGTTCTCGAGCGAACACGGCGCGACCTGGATTGATAAAAATTACCATTGCATGCAGGTATCATGCCAGTGATATCTCCTTTCGCCGCATAGTGAATAGTTTGTGAGCACATCCTCGACTCTCGAAACATTTGTCTTGCGCCGCTACAGAAGTTGCTTCTCCCGCGAACCATAAGTAGATTTCCCGCTTAACATCATGTTTGATAATTTATGCAAAAGTTGACCTCGTGGAAGTCAGCAGTGCATTAAGACTCAAAAATAAACAGACTTCCTACAGGGTTTTGAACACGGTTTTAATTAAAGTACTTTACGAGCGCTGCGGTAGTTGACCGCAAAAGTGTTACGGTGATGGATACTCAACGGGATGATTACGTCACTTCATAGCAACCAGACGGTACTCTGGTGACTCCTATCTTTAAAAAAGGATCAAAATCTGACCTGAATAACTATAGACCAATTTCTGTATTGCCAATTGTCTCAAAGCTATTCGAGAAAATTATCTATCAACAACTCTACGATTACCTAGATAAAAACAAACATTTGAATACTTATCAATCCCGGTTTCGATCGCTCCATAGCACCATGACGGCGCTACTTGAATCAACGAACAACTGGTCTATTAACATAGATAACGGCCTTTTAAATGGTGTGGTATATATCGACCTTAAAAAGGCTTTTGACACCATTGACCATGCAATTTTGTTACATAAACTTGCAAACTATGGACTTGATCTGGGTTCCCTACGATTCTTTGCCTCCTACCTAGGTAACAGGAGCCAGAAATGTTATGTTAATGGCGTATTGTCCAGTGCAAGCGAACTAAGATGCGGAGTCCCACAGGGTAGTATTCTCGGTCCTTTGTTCTTCTTAATCTATATAAACGATCTTCCAAACTGCCTTAATTCAGCATGCGCTAAAATGTTCGCAGATGATACAACTATTACCATTTCTGGTTCCTCTCTAGCTGACCTTGAACAAGAGACTAACTTAGAACTACTGAACCTTCACTGTTGGCTAAAAGCCAATAAGCTTAGTCTTAATGTTGCGAAAACCGAGTTTATGGTTATTGGCTCTCGCCAGAAGCTTCTCGCGGAAAGCCATAACGAAATAAACATCAAACTAGAAGACCAAGTTATCAGCAATGTTGATCACGCAAAATCATTAGGTCTCATTATTGACAATCGGCTTTCCTGGTCTAATCATGTTAACGAATTGTGTAAGAAGGTAACTTCGGCTATAGGTGCCCTTAGACGTATTAGGCCCCTTATCTCCCAATCTACTGCGGTACTAGTCTATAACTCCTTAATTCAACCTCACTTTGATTACTGTAGCCTTGTTTGGGATGGCTTAAGTGATCAACTGAGTGACAAATTACAAAAGTTACAGAACCGTGCAGCTAGAGTAATTTTAAAGGCCAACTATGGGACTAGCTCGAGCCTGCTTCTTGATATACTTAAATGGGACAAATTAGTTATAAGGAGAAAGAAGCATAAAGCAATAATGATGTTTAAATCTCTAAATGAACAAGCTCCAGTGTACTTGCAGAACCTATTTCACGAACGAAGCACAGACTATGATTTGCGCAATTCCTTTCATAAATTGACGTTGCCCAGGCCGCGTACTAACTACTTGAAACGAAGTTTCAGTTACAGCGGTGCTTTGTTGTGGAACTCTTTACCCGAAAATGTGAGAGAAACTAAATCAGTCAGGAAATTTAAAGAGCAAATCAAACATGTATTTGAGTCGTCGGACTCTCACTCGGCAGTCTTGTAAAACAGTATGTCGATAGTTTTTAGTCTAATTAATTGTGATTAGATTTTTACTCTATTATTACTGAAGATTTTACCGAGTTTTAAATAAAAAATCTACCTACCTACCTACCTACGAATTTTTTAACTTCCGGAGCGCTGAGGCTCGTAGTGGATAGTGCGATCACCCGTGTGATTTTTTGAGCGGTGAGATGCGACCCCCTCCGGTACCTGGCAAATCTTCTTACGCCCTCTCCATTTTAAACCAAAGGTATCTCGATGTTTTGGACATACCATGAAGTCTACTTCAGCGGTTCCCGAAAATACTCCTAATACAAATTTAAGTCGACCATGAACATCCCTTCAATGACAGATGTAAGAGATATGAAAATGTTCTCACCTGCTCTCAGTAAAATCAACTCTTTCTCAGACAACACGTCCTCTCCACGCATTTTCAACATTTCCAAGTGACCCGTAATATCGCGCTGACAATCACTTAACGCTTGATATTCGTTAATTACTGTATCCTTCACAGTAACTGAACCGCACTCTGTACCAGATAGCTTTCCAATCCCGCATTTATACATTTTTTACGAACAGAGATCTCTGCGATTCACTTGTTTTAAGTTAGCGTGATAGTGGGAATGTTTGTAAGCGCCGCCCCCAACTTTCGAGCACGTCTGGCGATCTTTTAACAGATAAGTCTTCGCAGATGATTGGCAGGTGGACAGAAGAGTTTTTCGCGTTAATAAATATAATGGCTTGAATTTTAAACTGTCCTCCAGGAAAACAAGGGTTTCGAAAGAACATGATATTATGAAATAGTATCCGGTAAAGTGTTTCCCGGGAAAGTTACGAACAAGTAGAATCTAGATTGTTTGATGCACCTGTAATTAATCAAGCGTGACAAATGCTTTATTGAATTACAGCGCTAAACTTTGCGGGTACTTTCCCACGCATGCAAAGTGAGGCAACCTTAAAAATCTGTCGAAGGGGACTGGAGTCCGAATTCAAAGATTTCCCTCTAGATTAAGATGAAGCTAACATACAGAAATGAAATGATGTGCCAAGTGAAATTTCTTCAATGTAAATACTCTCACGTGACATGCAAACATCTTTTCCCATACAGGATGTCACAGTGAATTTTCCAAGACGACTATAACGAGGCAAATGTTAAAGCTACACTCTTGACATACAATTTAAAGCGGTAGATTAGTCCTTCATACAACTACAGGCCATTCACAATCAATGATCGAAAAATTCATGAAAGTTTTTATTGGATTAAAGAAAAGTTGCTCGTCTGTTTGACAAGATGCGAAGGTTTTAAGCTGCACCAGCGTAGCAAGGGACGCAGCGGGTAAATCTATCAGACTTGACGCACTAGCAGGGCAATAAAAACAATGTACATATTGGTTAGGAAATAAAAACACATTCAAAAACAAATAAACAAAGCAGTTTTTGTCAAATTGCATAGTTTATTACCAGCTTTTGTATTTTCGTCACACCAACCCTCGCGACAGACATTCAGAGAGCGTCTCAAAAAAAGTCGAATCTTGGGCACTTTTGAGGCGCTCTCCTGGAAACACACAGAGACTGCCCGCGGAACTTTTTATATCAAAAACTTCACCAGCATAAGGCCTTGCAAAAGGTATAAAAAAATTGCTCAATCTCAGTCTACTACTCGAGATATACCTCGTGATATGCAGCATAGCCCATGACTGTACGAGTATTGAGAAAAAGAGAGTCGTCTTTCAACATGATTTTGTTGGAAAAAACATTATTGATCTGAACAATATATACATAGATGAAATTGATAGATCACTTCTAACAACTGAATTAAGTTTCATTGGCTACAAAGGTTTTGGAAATTTTTTACGGATTTTTCAAATTTTGATTTTTTCCCACTTTTTAAGCAAAAAATGACTCCTAAAAGTAAACACATCTCTAAAGGAAAACATTCAGTTTAAGACAAAACAAATTATGCCAATGAATCAGGCATATGATAGACTTTATTCTGACAAAGTTTCAAAATTTGCGATTTTTGGGCCAATTTCCAACTTTGCTCGATCCTTACAAGCAACGCCTCTTAAGCACTGATCTGAAGTGATTAGGGTTAAGCACTGAACTGAAAACGGTTAGGTTTCAAATATTGTAATGGGGTACGGCATAAGAACATGTATGTTTTGAAAATTATTGGATCTGGCAGCTAGTCCTCGATGGTGTAGTGGATATGGATGTAGGCTATAAAGCAAGTGACCCGGGTTCAAAGCATTACAGGGGATTGTTTCTATTTTATTTTATATTACACAGTAAAGTTGGACTTAAGTTGTTCTTCATGTAATTTTACTAATGCTAACCTTCATTCAGAACAGTACGCGAACACAAGTATGGCAGTTTTGATTAGACGTGTTCTTTTTGGGGACAAAGAAAAGTTTTAAATGCAAAATTTACCTTCGAGGACTTCGACCTTGTTTCTTTCACGCCAGAGCACTTGTCTTTTTCAGAACTGCGACCAAGTCATGAGCCGTTTTACAGAATATTCAGGTAAACTTACATTTAACACATTGTGCTCAAGGAAAGAACGATATTGAAAGGAAATTTATGTATTTATAATGTTTCATAGACGTTTTATATATTTTTGATAGAAAATTGGCAAATGCGCCCTATCTGAGACAGATAACTTTAGTGTTTATTTTTGCCATGTGCTCAGCCGATTTTACTTGTGGGAACGGATCCTGAACTTATGGGTTTTCGAATGTAAATTTTCAAGAAACAATTTTTTGTTTATTATTTTCTGTTTGTTCATTCATAACATTAGTTGAAAACGTGATTGCCGCATCTAAGTCTTTAATATTAACTTGTGTTTCATCCTTCTTATTAAGTGTCTTTTTACACGCATCACTTCTCCGAAGATGTACTTTCCAGATTAGCAACTAGTGAATTTTTTTTGGAAAATATTTGTTACTTGTTATTCTAGATAGATAGTAAACGATTTTTTAAAGGTTATTTGCGCTAATGGTCAGGCAAAAACCGTTTTTGAAGTAACAACTTTAAGAAAACGCTTCTCTTACGGTGCATGTCATTTGTTGTCGACTTTGTCTTGTGAGGATGAACTAACTCAGTCTTGGTCATTTGGGGATTAATAATTTTTTTGTCAAATATTACCTTGTAAAACCGTAAATGCTTTTTGCACCGCATCCTTTACATCGCGATACAAGTTTTCCTATAGAGCACTCGAGCGACAATCTCGCTTATCAGTAATTCCATATTAGGAAGTAAATTTTGATTGGTTCCCTAGAAAGCCGAGCATTCGGGGTTATATGCTTCTGTCGAAATCGAATCGAATCGCAAATAATATGAATCGTTACACACCTAAATAGAATGAAATAAAGTTAAAACTAATGATAGCAATAAAATCTCCTGCAAAAATCTCCTGCAAAAGATAAAATCGATAAAAATCTTATAGCAGTCATTACTGCACACTATAAAAAAAAAAAAAAATTAAAATTAAGCTTGAAAAGACTGCCTTAATTTATAGCAGGAGATTTTTTTCTCCCTCATCAAGATTGACAGAGGAATGATGGATTGATCAATGCTGGCGCCTTCCTTCTCTTCAACCCCTTCCCTGCTCCAAAAATAAATTTCATTACTTATCTCTCGAGAATCTAGGGATCTTATACCGATAGTTAGGTAGTTGTAAGCTTCAACAAGTTATGCATTTTTATTTGTTTTGTCAAAAGCATCAAGTTAAATGTATCCATCTGTCCCTGATTTCATAGTTAGTAAACGTCGCAGACTTAAATCTTGGTGTAAGGACATAATGTGGTCTTGATAATCAACTCCTGACCTTGCACAATCTAGCTAGGCCTAGCACTTCTTTCAATTCACAAGGTTACTTGCGCGTTGTTCGGTGGATTTGGCCCGAAAGAGCGAAAAATAGAAACATAGTCGCCAGCGCTGTACTTTACTAATCTGGATTCTACAATAAACGACAAGTTAAATGCTAAAATAAGACTTATACGATACCGTCAAGTCATCAAGTATTGTTAGAGGTCTTCGATTCGTAAGAATCCGACTCCTTTGCAGCCTGTTGATTATTTCTACCTCAGGTTTTGCAAATTTTGAGCCATTCACAAGTCTACCTAAAGGTTACAATGTTTACAACAATATGCTGCTAAAATTGATCGCTTAAAAAGACTTAAAAAGACCCGAAATTGGGCCGTGCCAAGAAAACGACTTTTTTGCCAAGAAAACGACACAAGATCTGGCTTCGCCTGCCGTCTGCACCCTCCCCATTATCCCTTGCGGAACATTTGGAAGTCGGTTTCTCTTAATCGGTGCCCGAGTGAAAATATTTGTTTGACATCCTTGTATCTCAGAAAACGAGCCAGTATTGGCCAGGGCTTTCCATTCTTGCTTTTTCAGCTTCTATGGACTCTTTGCATTTCTTCGCGTCTTGCATCGTGGAAGCCCAATTCGCGTTCTAAGAAATCTTTTAAGGCTTATTCGACATCTTCGGGTTCATAGGGGGAGCCTTCTCCTATATTCATAAATCTGATGTTCTCCCCTCTAGAATAAACTTCCAGGAAAAGATTTTTTGCTGTAAGGTAGTTTAACAACTCGGCTTCGCCGTTTGTGTCGTTATTCATGTACATGGAACTGTAAGCTAGTGAAATGTCCAGTTTCTTTAATAATTTTTTATTATATTGAAGCGTAACTCTATTACTTTTCATTCAAAAAATCTACAGCTCGCACTACAAATTTGGCGCTTGTGAAAGGTCAGAACCAGCTGGCTGTATGGGTGATTTTTGAAATGAAATAAAAGTAGGCTTTGTTGGAAGGGTTTCGCTAAAACCCCGTTATTTAACCCTGCATGCTACATAGGAGAAGATTAATCTGAACAGTCCCGAGATTGCGGAATTCTCTTCATGAAAACGTTTTACAATGTGATCAATTCTATATAATTTGTTGTGCAAGGGAAGCGCGTTCGATTGTGCTGGATATTGAATGAGTGCAATTTGACCGGCAAAATTGTGAAAAACTTCAATCTCAGGTTTAAATAGGGCGAAAAATAACAAATTCCGTCCAAAGTCTGTACGATTACCAGACAGCGTCTGATTGTACTGTTTAACTCAAATGTGATGTATAAAAGGCTGGTTTACACGCCATCAGATTTGTCAGCAAGATTTTGTAAAGTCAACTTGTTGAACACAAAAAATCCGGCCTGATTTCTTATGTTGGTCTGCGAGAGGAATGGGTGTAAATTCGCTGCCATCGTAGAGGACTATCGTGTCTTTGTAACTGAAGTGGCATAAAGTTACACTTCGGGGCTGTCCAATTAACCTCATAAAATAAAGGTGATGTCAGTGGGCGACTGGGTATCTTGTTTGGGAAGAATTTGTTTTCCAAGCCTAATCGTGAATAATTGCATTTTTGAGTGTACATTTAAGACTTTTTAACTCGATGTAACATCTGTTCCATACTAGGACTGTTCAGTGCAAATTATTTTTTCTCTAAAATCACTTAGCTTTTCCCTCAAAAGTCACATGGAACTGCTCTTATTTTAACTGGTGTGTGGATTTCAAGTTTATTGTTTGATTTAAGTAATAAATTTATCAACGGGAGCTTCACTTTAGCCCTGGCTAAATCTATATATTATAGATGTATTTCCTTGATTAAAAAAAATTGCCTCGGTGATTTCCTGGACTCTGGAAAGTTCAGGGAACAGGTTCAGTAAGCCTTAGTAGCAAATAATTGTCATTTTCCGTCTTTAGCTAGGATGTAATCTGTGTTTTGATTTAGAGAGGCTTTGTGAGTCTAACCCCTACTTAGTTAACTTAAAGAGATGTGAAGACACATGAACTCTTAATGCAGGCAGCCCACTTCCCTCATTTAAAGATAATTTACCCATGCCAATTGCTGCTAATAGTCGACAGACTGCATAAAACACATAAAGCGATTACATTTTACCGGTATGTATACTTTTAATGAATATGTCACGTTTTGAATGGTACATGTACCTCTATCCTGTGTCCTGTGCCTGAGGCTCTCTATCGGTGTAGATGAGAGAAACATACTGGTTGATAAACAACTTGCAGTAGCAAGAAATACCTCATGCAAAACATGCTCAGTGTTTTGGGTTGGGTAATTGTTTCCCCGAGTCCCAACAGCATCTCACTTTAAAATCAAGACAAACGCTAAATTCCAATAACACTGAAGAAGTTACATTTTAATAATTATACTATAAGATCGTGTCCACAGAATTGTAAGTGATAGACCAAAATGAAATGTCTTTATAACAATATGTTATTCACCCTGGTGATTCAGGTTTAATAGAATAAGAGTTAAGTAAATCACGTGGACTGTAACAACAACAACACCAAATGCTTTATTTGCATAACCATAAAGGAATTACAGTATTGCAAAAGCTATTAGTCTAAATTTAAGTATTAATTCAACTTATTAGTACGTGCAAAACATTACAAAACGTTACAGTTCTCATTCATTCATTCATTGATATTAATTTGGTTCTTAATTCAAAGCATTGCGAGATAAATGAAACTAATTGACAGTTAATTAAATAATCAGAAGAATTCATAACAAGAGATATTAAAGTATCGTGTGAAAGTGATTTGAAGTCAGGTATTTTAGTTTCTAGTTTGGAGAAAAAAATGTCTCTGATCTGAGAATAAGCCTTACAATCTAGTAAGAAATGATTTTCATCTTCGATTTTGTTACTTGTACAAAAGTGACATATCCTTTCATTGCAAGGAATGTTTTCTTATCTACCTGTTTCAATTTTAAGTTGATGACTTCTTATTCTAAATCTAACTAATGCTTTTCTCGAAGGGTTTTTTCTTGTTAAAACTAGGTACGGCGAGGGGCTATAGTCGTCTTTGATGGTACAATAAAAACTGATTTTTTGTGATTGTTGAAGGGTCTGATTCCAGCAATTCCATTATGCCGATATACCTATTAACTATTGAGTCACTCAGTGAATTACAGGAAAAGTCATAGTTTAGATCATAGTATTCAACCATTTTCATGAGATTAGAGTAAAAGCTAGTTTTTCCGTTATGATGAAGGTCAATTGAAATTTCTAAGGCCTGTTTAACTATAGAATCTTTATCTTTACTTCTCAGATAGTCTAAGTAATTTAGAATCTCTTTATTTATATCAATGATCATGGGAAACTTACCGAGTTCAGCTCTACAAGCAATGTTGGATGCCTTGTTATGTACTTGTAAATAACGTTTACAGAATTGCAAATGGGTTTTTTCAATTGCAGAGCTGTCCCAGGACTTAAAATCTGATTTAACAAAAGCACCCCAAACTTCACTGTTGTAGGTCAGAATTGGTGAAATCATCGCGTCAAAAATTTTACACGCAAGTGAGACCTTAAGACTATTCAAATCCGTGTGCCGCCTGAGGCTGAAGAGCGCGTGAAGAGCTTTTTGTCGGAAATGTTCAAGCGAAAGAGTAAAATTTCCGGAAGATGTAATGCGAGTTCCTACGTAACTATAGTTTTGGACAACGTCGATTACTTCATTGCCTATGCGGAAGTTATATTCACATTTTCGTGTGCATCTTTGAAAAATCATTATTTTGGTTGTCTTAGGATTTATTCTAAGCATCCATGAGTTGCAATATGAAGATAGTACGTTAAGGCAGTTTTGTAGACCAAGTTTGGATCGCGATAATATTATCAAGTCATCTGCGTAAAGGAGAGAGTTGAGTCTGGTGCGATTTGGTAACACGAAGGGGTCTGATAAAACATTGTCAAATGAGAACGCTAGATCGTTAAAGTATAAGTTAAAGAGCAGAGGGCTTAAAATGCCGCCTTGCTGCACTCCTCTTGCGTATTGAAAAGATCGCGTTTTGTTATTTCCAATCCTGACAGAGCAGGTAGACTTCCAGTATAGGCTCTTAATGAGACTATAAAACTTTCCTTGGACATTGATCTTAGATAACTTATAGAGAAGCCCATCATGCCAAACCGAATCAAAGGCTTTCCTGAAGTCAACAAAACACGCATATATTTTCTCCTTGTGACAATGGACATATTTGTCTATTAATGTTCGATGTGTGAGGACATGATCTGCTGTTCTATTATTTGCTAGAAAACCAATTTGAGACTTGTGAAGTATATTATTTAAGTCTACGTGCTTTAGAAATCTCTGATTGAGAATTGAACAAAATGGTTTTCCAATACAACTGGAAATACAAATTCCACGGTAGTTTGATGGATCGCTTTTAGTACCACATTTAAAAATTGGTGTAATGAGGCCATCACACCACATTTGGGGCATAGTTCCCAAGTCGAGGACCGTGTTAAATAGTTTTAGATAAACAGGCATTAATTCGTTTAGGCTAGATTTGATCATTTCGTTTTTGATTTTGTCTGATCAAGAAGATTTCTTGTTTTTGAGTTTTTCAGCTGCAGTGCGAATTTCACTTTCAGTGATGAGGTAATCCAAGGAGTGAGATCGTGTCGTAATATCCTTTGAATTCAGCATCTCATCTATGATTGCCTCCTGCTGTTCATTAAGGGGTTCATTCGAGTGCAAAGATTGAAAGTGGGACATCCATTTTTCTTCAGAAATTGGAGGGGTGTAGGTTTCCTTCATAGTGTCGTCCATTGACTTCAAACAGTTCCAAAAGCTCTTATTGTTTGAATTTTCGACCGTATTTTCAAGTTCACAGATCTTATTGCTATAGTATTCGTTTCTCTTATTTTTCAAAAGGTTTTTATATTGCTTTAAGACGTTGTGATACTCTTCCCTGAGGGTATTGTTTAGAGGATCTCTATGTTTTTGATTAGAAAGTTTCCGCAGTTCATGTCTTTTATAGCGGCATTCTTTGTCGAACCATTTTTTGTTCGAAGATATTTTGCAACGTCGCTTTTTTGCAAAATATCTTCGAACAAAAAATGGTTCGACAAAGAATGCCGCTATAACATACGTGACCTCAACCATATTATACACTCTATGATATTATCACCAGAAGCAACACTGTGACAGATGAGGGGGCTGCCTTCAAGAAGCTCCAGTCAACATAGCAGAAACGCTAACTTGGTAAATTCATAATTTAAAAAAGCCGTAAATCAATACCATTGAAACTCTGTTTTGCGTTTTACACCGTCAGATCTAGAACGGACATTGAAATAGATGTATATTTCTGTGTTTGGAGCTTTTGAATTTTTAGCAACGCTGGTCTTGGAGACAAAAAATCCCAGTTTGAGAGTATTTCTTTTAAAAGTGCATGCATTTAATCCTGCGGTACGTCCTTAGAATTTTAAGCTGAAGTCTTGATTATTATTCTTCAATTAAAGTTATCTTTCCTCGTTCGATGGCTCCACACTTGGAAATCGAAATCACAGAAAGGCTTTCTTGCAGATGCAGGCTAATACCGTTTTAAGGTATGTGCAATTCACCGGAATTGGGCCTAACCTTAGTCTTCGACCTTTATAGGGCCATGGAGGACAACTACAGTTGATAACACTGGACTTGATTATCAAAAAGAATAGTGGACAATCGCTCCAAAAACACGAATCGTAAAAAATCCGTGAAACAAAATCCAAACTTCATCAATTTGCGTATACTAGCCTTTTAACATGTATACTATTATCTTCACAATTGTTCAGAATAGTCGACTGGTTTAGCCAAAACCACAGAACAGCAAATCCTGCCAGAGATCCGCACGTTATTTGGCAGAATCCTCCCTTCTCTCTTTCCCCTCCCCATCATGCCCTGCGCGCTTTCTTTTTCTTCTCCTCAGCCTCGTGACAACGCAAAGAGGCCTCTGCGGAGGAGAGAGGTGGTGCTTTTTCATCTGAAACGGTAACATGATTATGCATTTTTATGAAAAAAGTGATCTGTCCATTGTACCAAGTATAATCAAATTGCTGTGGTGTTAGTTCAGATTTTCTTACCTATTATACAGCAAGAAAAGCCAACGGGATGGCACCCAAATGGAGTTACAAGAGCCACAATTCAAATTATCCAGGTAAATTTCAGACAAATTTTGATCAAGGGAACAAAGGAAATTTAGTTCGAGTTAGTAGGGAATTCGACGAATTCGGGTTAAAAGTGACTGAAAATTGGGGTGAAATCCAAGGGAAATCGGACTTTAGTTCGAGTTGTCCGAGGTCGAGTTATCGAGGTTCTATTGTAGTAATATAACAAGTGATATCTTGGTACAAAACGGTATCGATTGTAACGAGTCTGAAGTCTGATCCTAAAAATAAAACGAATGGAAATTGACAATTAAGACTTGGTGGACTGCTTAGAAAGTATGAATATTAATGAATATATGCCGTTTTGTGGAGGCATGTGTGGCCAGGCGGTTAACACCTCGAAATCCCGATCTGGTAGCCTGGGGTTCAAGCCTCTCCAGTCGCGTTGTTTCCTTAGACAAGCAACTTAACTCCACCTTGTCTATTCACCCAGGTGTATGAATGGGTACCGACGACACTGGGTAGGGGTAGCAATACTCCCAGGCATGCCTCATGCTAAGGAAACCTGAAAGGCTCCGGCTGTATGGGCCTTTGGCCCGTGCACGCCTTTACCATTTTACCTTACCCTTTCTGTTTTGTGTGGGGAATAGATGGCATTCTGAAAATTCGATTTTTTTAAAAAAACAATTTAAAAATCGTCAGAGATTTGCCTGTCGCGCTGGGTTTTAAAGGGGAAAGCGCTCGTGCATACGCAAGCAAAATGATTTCTATTTGTTTGGTGAAAGAGAAACACTAACTGTTTGTTTCCTTTTTTTCCTTTCGCTTCTAATACCAATAAAAGCATATGGGTATGCTTTCATTATCATAGGTTTTGCTTTCACTATATGCCAGACGGACCGGACGTAAACAGTGGAATTAACGAAAAAAAAAAATGGAACGACATTGTTTGATCAAAAGGAAATTCCTGTCGGAATGAAATGTTGCATTTATGTATTCACCAAAATTTTCATACTTTCGTGACTAAGTGTGACTGGACAAGTTCCGGTTGGAATGGACCTTACTCTTAAAGAGAACCACCCCTAGAGATGGTCCACTTTTCCGGAAAATTTCACCTGGACCGAAGCAATCCATGCATTTAAATTTCCACCCAAACTTTGGCATGATGGAAAGTAACCTCTTGGCTGGTTAACGTAACACTTTGTTTTATTTTGTTTCTTTTACCAAAGAGGGGTATGGAGATTCTACTGGAAGAGTACCGACTTAAATACGGAGATTCATTTCCTTCAACAAGTAAGTCTGCTTTTAACACAGCTTTCTATTAGTCGCTAGAGATTATTGGTACTGAAATGACCTATCTAATAGCTTTGCGCCAGAAATCATGAATGACAGACCGAAAATGACAATGTTCTATTTATTTACAGATAAAATCGATGAGGCCCTTGACAATGCAGAAAATACAGAACGTATGGTCAACCAAATTCTTTGCCGAACCTTCACGTGTCAAAAAGGTCATGATAAAGCTCTTCTTCCGACCGGTTCTGAGGTAATTATACCATTTTATTTAATAAATTGACTGTTACAAACGTGATAGTGGGGGAGGGAAAACGAAAAGAACAAACAAATCATGTATGCCTTGAAAAGAATTCCTGCAAATCAGAGCTAGAGAAGGAGCTATCCCTTTCAAACTGACTAAACGGTAAATTATAGAGCAAAAAAAACAAAACAATTGATTTCTTGGATAGAACTAGAAAATAATTCAGGAGAGCGAGATGTCAGTTCGTTAAACGTTGCCAATACGGTGATAAAAATGTTGCTTTATTAATGGCATACGCCATCACTCTGCTCGTCAGTCTCTTATTTACAAAGGACAGTCAGATCATACTTAATTTCCAGCATATATCCAAGTTGTCGATTCCACTAAAGAAAAAAGAAAACGTCAGAAACCAGAAAATATCCTCACTTAAGCTTCGTCACCAAAGTGATTTAAAGAAAATTTTAAACTTCCTGAAACCATATGTTTATTTATTTATTTTTTTTATTTACTGATTTATTATGGAAGACTAATGTAGAAGTATCGTCTCTCATAAAAGATAATTGCCAGTGTACTGGTAGGCAATCATACTTGATACAATTCCACAATTTTGAGAAATTATCCATTTCTGTGACCTTTAGCTTTCAAGCGATACATTTACGACTTTCTTATCTTATTAAAATCTTTTCTAGTTCCTTCTCTAGATCAATGGAGTATGCAGCTAGGAAATCTAACTTTGTGTCAAGGATATAAGCTCTCCACCCAAAATTTTAGTTCTGCATATCTGACCCTTTTTTCAATGTGGCATTAGATGAACTGGCTGCATTACCACAATTTGAATTTAAAGTTTTTATTTAAATTCTTTCAATTTTTTACTTCTGGGGCCAGATGCTATTATTACTAAATTATTACCAGAAGCAGTAGCAGTAGTAGTGGTAGTAGTAGCATATCTGCCCATAATGAAATAGACTGAAACATTATTAGCGGAGCTCTCTCGCGCGAAGCGCGCCAGCGGAGCACCATGGATAAGAAAATGAAGTAATCTACCCATCCGAGAAAATTTGGTAATCACGTGACCGTACACCGCCCGAGAGACCGTCCGTCCGCACCACAGGCATACCAATGTAAAATAACTTAATCAACAGGTATGGCAACCCAAATGCAACTCGAGGTTATGTTGGCGGGAAATCGCATAGCCATCGGCGTCTTCTAAAGCAGAGACAACAATAGAGTCAATAAAGACGAAAACGGAAAGCGAAAATTGTTTCTGTATCAGTGTTGTCTAAAGTATTAATCTTAGATATATTGTCATGTCCACAAATTTAATATAGAGCAAGAGAAAGACAGAGAAAAAGAGAAATTGGGCGGCAGGCCAGCGAAGCTCAACGAGAAAAAGAGTGACAGGGATTTAGAGAGGGAGATAAAAAACCGAAGGAGACATTTTTTTGTTGCAAGAAAAACATGAAAATTTTGTAGCGGTGACAAAATGAGAAATGCTAGCGGCCACCATTGCAAGGTGAAAATGAGGGGTTGTTAAAAAAAGTGAACGAGAACGCGTACTACAATTCCTCCATAAAACGTGTAACTAAGAAGTTTCTGAAAGTTTCGCGTTGTAGTCGTGCAAAACAACGGCAAAGAAATGTACAAAAAAATTGTGCTGCACGTGCAAAGTTGCTTTTGCTAATTAGACCTATTGTTGTTTTTCATCGTTTTCCGGCGTTGCATACCTTCGCCGCTTAGCATTACACGATTTTATGTTTTGTTTGAACAAACTATAAATTAATATTATTGAGAGCTTCGCTTTTAGCCCTGGCTAAATCTATATATTAATGTTTAATACAAAGGCATGGCAAGCACAAAAAAGCCTACTGGTGGAAGACTACCACATAACTTGTCTGCAACACGATCGCGATGATAGTTTTGCAATTGGTGCCAGATACAAAGTAGCTTTTTCTCGCAGATTTCCTCATTTTGAGGTATGTTTAATAATTCTAGTTAATTCAAATTTTTAAATTCACACATTATTCTGGCATAATTGAAATTGTCTAATCTTTTGTGCTTCTGACATGGTGGAAGGGGGAACTCTCGGAGAGCAAAATTAAAACCCTGGTTAGCCGACATTTAGTGACACAGGCGGCTTAGAAGAAAAAATCCTAGTACAGTTGACTCCCGATAACTCCAACCTTCAAGGGAGATCGAAAAAAGTTTGAGTCATCGGGAGTTCGAGCTATCGGGAGTTTGAACCAAATAACCGGAAGCAAGGAAATCAGCAAATGGATGGGGAGGAAATGCAATTAAGCAACAAAGTATACAGGAATGGACACTGAATTTGAACTGGAGTCACAAGAAAGTAAACACAAAGAATTGACTCGGTTGTTTTGAAACATAACTTCAATGTTTCGGACCTCAGTACACAGTTTTTTCCCCGACTTGTCACGCCCTTATAACATGGTTCGAGTTATCGAGGGTAAAATTGTATAGAAATGATCTGAAGGGAAACAAAACTTAACTCGAGTTAGCGGGAGGTTCGAGTTATCGAGGGTAAAATTACAGTAAATGTACGAAGGAAATCCAGGGGAAATCGACTTTGGTTGGAGTTAGCGCGAGGTTCGACTGAGTTAGCGAGGGTTCGAGTTATCGGGAGTCAACTGTACTCCCAGCTGGAGTCGAACCAATGACCCACTGGTTACCAGACCAGATGCTCTACCACTGAGCTACAGGAGACTGGAGGGCGCAAAAACCACTAAACTAGGTTCATGTGACAAAAACCTTGCATAATGCTAGGACTGGAATGTCGATACGTGCTCATACGCAATGACGTAAATGTGAAGAGTGAATTTTAGTTCACTTATATCAGAAACAAGTTTATTTCTTTCCTCTGAAATCTAGCTTGGTAAAACTTTTGCTTCTTAAAGCGTGAACCAATGAAAATAGATAATCCATATTTAAAAAAGTCACATGAATTAAATTAGGGGTTATGATTCTGGAAAGTGCAGAGTCGAAATGCATTGCTCTTGGAGTGGTCTTTGAGGATGTCGGCACACAACTAAGTCTAGGAAAGGAAGGAACGGTGGGATACCATACGAAGGATGCGAGAATACATGATTCATCCTCCGAATCAGGTAATATAACTATAGTTATGTACATGTATGTAGATCGAGCTTCGCAAATGTGCCTTTATTACGTAACACGAACAACTCACTGCAGTCGAGCGACATTACTGATACTCAGAATCGGCATGAATGCCTTTAGTTTCACGTGCAATTTGTAGCTTTTCTTTGCATGAAGTACCTGTATATGATGTTGTGGTTCAAAGCTTATGAAAGTTTGATTTATTTATTTATTTTTATGGAATGGTGTCAAGAACTGAAAGAAAAAAGTTCTACTTCCGGGTTTTATTATTATCCATTAGTCTCGTTACTTAAAGACACTGCTGTGACTCAGATGACGAAAGGGAGTAACATATCTCACCTTGTAATGCTTTGTGTTAGGCTCCAGAGTCGCTCTCCGAGGTAACGTCATTCGATGCACTGTCGTGTTTGAGAAGGAACAAGAGGTAGACGGCAAAATTCAAGTTCCTGTTGTTTTTAGTGTCAACGGAGGCAGGATAGATCCTATAGATAAACATCAATCATTTATCGAATACAGCGAGGACTGACCACTGTTCCCCTACGTTGCTTTCTATAAAGAAAACAGAGTGTTAGCAAAGGTATTTTAAAAACATCGTAGCATTTTAAATACATTTCAAAATTCATAAGACTTTTAATCCTTGGAAATACAAACAGTCTCGGTCATCATTTCAGGGGGGAGTGGTGGTTTCTGTAACCTGAGGACGGCCATTTTGGAGCTTTTCTCGAGCTAGAAATTCAATTGGAATGTGATGAATTCCCCCTCTTGACTTCAAACTTGTTTGCATTCAGTTTAAAGATCTATGAGGCCTTTGTGTTTCCACTGATAATCATACTTTGTGCGAGGTACCAAAGTTTTATTCCCAGAATAATATTAGCTTTAAGTATATGCACTATGAGAAATCTGATTGGTTTTGGTATCTCAGCTTATTCAGCATCACTATTTTTTGAAATATTTCTCATTTTTGGATTGGCTCAAATTGGGCAATTTTTTATAACAAGCTACAATCTTGGACAAAACTGTTGAGAAAATTGTATACTTGGACAGCATTTTTCTAAACATCGTAGATGTACCGGTTCTTCCCTCTCCCCCTTCCCCTGAAAGCAATGTTGTTGTGTATTCAAAAGAAAGCCTGATGCCTGGGCGTTCGTGGGAAGCAACATTGAATTGGGGGAAGGGGTTTTCTTTCCGCAAAGGCGTCGTTTTGGAAATAGCCTTGTTGCGTAGGAAAGTGGACATGATGGAGAAAACTTTCTCAAGTAGTTTTGTCCGGGATTGTATTTGACTGGGAAAGGCGATTTGCAGCCTTTAACGCAGCCAAATAAGCCTGTTCTTTATAAATGTAGTACATTTCAAAGAAAAGGAGATAATTAATGCAAAATGAGTGAAAGCAGAGGCGTTTATGACAAGAAAACCAATTGGTATGTCTTACTTGATTGGAGTGGTCAGTCAAGAACGTTTGCGAAATTCATTTTCCATGCATGGTTTTTACGCGCTTTTGAGTGAAGAGTAGCGGGCATACATTGCGCTTTTCGAGGACGAAAAGGACGTTTCCGTCAAGCAGATTAGCTAGAAAACGGGAATTTCACCCACTACGATTCGATCAACAAATAACACATGAAACGTTTGCTGAATTTTCAGAGCGCGTGACCCGACAACTTTGAACAATTTTCCCATCGCCAAAATAGTCAACGGGCAAGAACTTGCAATGAATAAAAGCATCAAATGGCGTGAGGATGAAATATTTACAAAAGCTGCATTTTTACTTTTCACATTTGAATGCTTACTTTTGAAACTGTAGCGATATCCAGTCCAAAGAAACACACTATGAAATCTAGAAATGTCACGCGCGATAACGTGACAAGATGTACTATCGCGTGACCTGTAAAAGTGCACGTTTTGTCTTCGGGTTACATATGACTGGAAAAAATATGACCTAAATTGATAATTTGCAAACCAAGGCATGATAAAGGTTGCCATAGTTGACTTCTAATCTTTTCTCTCCACAATATCTGCAAGTCGGAACGATTAACAGGACATATTTGAGCGGCTGCGAAGATTAACTACGGTTAACAACGATTAACAGGAAAGTTTAAAAAGAATCAGAAGGTCATTCTCTATTGAAAACCAAATGGTGTTAACCGTTTCAATGCTTTGTTAATCGTAATATTATTCTATCCATGGAATTATCATAAAACGTTAACCGACTTTTAACAAAGAAAGTTTCTGTAACACCCATAGTTTAACCAATTATAAGCTCTGAGAAGCAATTTCAACCTGACGGGAAACGGTTCCATATTGGATTGACTATTATGTCCCTAAATAAACACTACGAACTCCTTTTCTTCGAAGAGAACTGTCATACAAGTCTTGTTCAGACTCTTCTGAAAAAGGTAAATTACTTTTCACATTTTCCGAGCCTTCCATTCCGGAACTTCAAGAAAATATGTAACAATTAGCACGCGTTGTACGGCTATTTCGAAATTTGACTGTTTTAAAGAGGGTGCTGCAAAAAACGCATATGAGGTCTTGCTTTTCTATGAGAAGATGGTCTGGCGTGAAACTTTGTGCTCAAAACAGCTTCTGTAAAGTGCTTTTTATTAGCATGTTTTTGTTTTGTCCTTGCAAATATTCTTGCAAGAAAACGCGAATCACCTTGTACACAGTGTATTTGACTGGGAAAGGCGATTTGCAGCCTTTAACGCAGCCAAATAAGCCTGTTCTTTATAAATGTAGTACATTTCAAAGAAAAGGAGATAATTAATGCAAAATGAGTGAAAGCAGAGGCGTTTATGACAAGAAAACCAATTGGTATGTCTTACTTGATTGGAGTGGTCAGTCAAGAACGTTTGCGAAATTCATTTTCCATGCATGGTTTTTACGCGCGCTTTGAGTGAAGAGTAGCGGGCATACATTGCGCTTTTCGAGGACGAAAAGGACGTTTCCGTCAAGCAGATTAGCTAGAAAACGGGAATTTCACCCACTACGATTCGATCAACAAATAACACATGAAACGTTTGCTGAATTTTCAGAGCGCGTGACCCGACAACTTTGAACAATTTTCCCATCGCCAAAATAGTCAACGGGCAAGAACTTGCAATGAATAAAAGCATCAAATGGCGTGAGGATGAAATATTTACAAAAGCTGCATTTTTACTTTTCACATTTGAATGCTTACTTTTGAAACTGTAGCGATATCCAGTCCAAAGAAACACACTATGAAATCTAGAAATGTCACGCGCGATAACGTGACAAGATGTACTATCGCGTGACCTGTAAAAGTGCACGTTTTGTCTTCGGGTTACCTATGACTGGAAAAAATATGACCTAAATTGATAATTTGCAAACCAAGGCATGATAAAGGTTGCCATAGTTGACTTCTAATCTTTTTCTCTCCACAATATCTGCAAGTCGGAACGATTAACAGGACATATTTGAGCGGCTGCGAAGATTAACTACGGTTAACAACGATTAACAGGAAAGTTTAAAAAAAGAATCAGAAGGTCATTCTCTATTGAAAACCAAATGGTGTTAACCGTTTCAATGCTTTGTTAATCGTAATATTATTCTATCCATGGAATTATCATAAAACGTTAACCGACTTTTAACAAAGAAAGTTTCTGTAACACCCATAGTTTAACCAATTATAAGCTCTGAGAAGCAATTTCAACCTGACGGGAAACGGTTCCATATTGGATTGACTATTATGTCCCTAAATAAACACTACGAACTCCTTTTCTTCGAAGAGAACTGTCATACAAGTCTTGTTCAGACTCTTCTGAAAAAGGTAAATTACTTTTCACATTTTCCGAGCCTTCCATTCCGGAACTTCAAGAAAATATGTAACAATTAGCACGCGTTGTACGGCTATTTCGAAATTTGACTGTTTTAAAGAGGGTGCTGCAAAAAAACGCATATGAGGTCTTGCTTTTCTATGAGAAGATGGTCTGGCGTGAAACTTTGTGCTCAAAACAGCTTCTGTAAAGTGCTTTTTATTAGCATGTTTGTTTTGTCCTTGCAAATATTCTTGCAAGAAAACGCGAATCACCTTGTACACAGTGTATTTGACTGGGAAAGGCGATTTGCAGCCTTTAACGCAGCCAAATAAGCCTGTTCTTTATAAATGTAGTACATTTCAAAGAAAAGGAGATAATTAATGCAAAATGAGTGAAAGCAGAGGCGTTTATGACAAGAAAACCAATTGGTATGTCTTACTTGATTGGAGTGGTCAGTCAAGAACGTTTGCGAAATTCATTTTCCATGCATGGTTTTTACGCGCGCTTTGAGTGAAGAGTAGCGGGCATACATTGCGCTTTTCGAGGACGAAAAGGACGTTTCCGTCAAGCAGATTAGCTAGAAAACGGGAATTTCACCCACTACGATTCGATCAACAAATAACACATGAAACGTTTGCTGAATTTTCAGAGCGCGTGACCCGACAACTTTGAACAATTTTCCCATCGCCAAAATAGTCAACGGGCAAGCACTTGCAATGAATAAAAGAATGAAATGGCGTGAGGATGAAATATTTACAAAAGCTGCATTTTTACTTTTTACATTTGAATGCTTACTTTTGAAACTGTAGCGATATCCAGTCCAAAGAAACACACTATGAAATCTAGAAATGTCACGCGCGATAACGTGACAAGATGTACTATCGCGTGACCTGTAAAAGTGCACGTTTTGTCTTCGGGTTACCTATGACTGGAAAAAAATATGACCTAAATTGATAATTTGCAAACCAAGGCATGATAAAGGTTGCCATAGTTGACTTCTAATCTTTTTCTCTCCACAATATCTGCAAGTCGGAACGATTAACAGGACATATTTGAGCGGCTGCGAAGATTAACTACGGTTAACAACGATTAACAGGAAAGTTTAAAAAGAATCAGAAGGTCATTCTCTATTGAAAACCAAATGGTGTTAACCGTTTCAATGCTTTGTTAATCGTAATATTATTCTATCCATGGAATTATCATAAAAAGTTAACCGACTTTTAACAAAGAAAGTTTCTGTAACACCCATAGTTTAAGCAATTATAAGCTCTGAGAAGCAATTTCAACCTGACGGGAAACGGTTCCATATTGGATTGACTATTATGTCCCTAAATAAACACTACGAACTCCTTTTCTTCGAAGAGAACTGTCATACAAGTCTTGTTCAGACTCTTCTGAAAAAGGTAAATTACTTTTCACATTTTCCGAGCCTTCCATTCCGGAACTTCAAGAAAATATGTAACAATTAGCACGCGTTGTACGGCTATTTCGAAATTTGACTGTTTTAAAGAGGGTGCTGCAAAAAACGTATATGAGGTCTTGCTTTTCTATGAGAAGATGGTCTGGCGTGAAACTTTGTGCTCAAAACAGCTTCTGTAAAGTGCTTTTTATTAGCATGTTTTTGTTTTGTCCTTGCAAGTATTCTTGCAAGAAAACGCGAATCACCTTGTACACAATCTTGGACAAAGCTGTTGAGAAAATTGTATACTTGGACAGCATTTTTCTAAACATCGTAGCTGTACCGGTTCTTCCCTCTCCCCCTTCCCCTGAAAGCAATGTTGTTGTGTATTCAAAAGAAAGCCTGATGCCTGGGCGTTCGTGGGAAGCAACATTGAATTGGGGAAAGGGTTTTCTTCCGCAAAGGCGTCGTTTTGGAAATAGCCTTGTTGCGTAGGAAAGTGGACATGATGGAGAAAACTTTCTCAAGTAGTTTTGTCCGGGATTGTATTTGACTGGGAAAGGCGATTTGCAGCCTTTAACGCAGCCAAATAAGCCTGTTCTTTATAAATGTAGTACATTTCAAAGAAAAGGAGATAATTAATGCAAAATGAGTGAAAGCAGAGGCGTTTATGACAAGAAAACCAATTGGTATGTCTTACTTGATTGGAGTGGTCAGTCAAGAACGTTTGCGAAATTCATTTTCCATGCATGGTTTTTACGCGCGCTTTGAGTGAAGAGTAGCGGGCATACATTGCGCTTTTCGAGGACGAAAAGGACGTTTCCGTCAAGCAGATTAGCTAGAAAACGGGAATTTCACCCACTACGATTCGATCAACAAATAACACATGAAACGTTTGCTGAATTTTCAGAGCGCGTGACCCGACAACTTTGAACAATTTTCCCATCGCCAAAATAGTCAACGGGCAAGCACTTGCAATGAATAAAAGAATGAAATGGCGTGAGGATGAAATATTTACAAAAGCTGCATTTTTACTTTTTACATTTGAATGCTTACTTTTGAAACTGTAGCGATATCCAGTCCAAAGAAACACACTATGAAATCTAGAAATGTCACGCGCGATAACGTGACAAGATGTACTATCGCGTGACCTGTAAAAGTGCACGTTTTGTCTTCGGGTTACCTATGACTGGAAAAAAATATGACCTAAATTGATAATTTGCAAACCAAGGCATGATAAAGGTTGCCATAGTTGACTTCTAATCTTTTTCTCTCCACAATATCTGCAAGTCGGAACGATTAACAGGACATATTTGAGCGGCTGCGAAGATTAACTACGGTTAACAACGATTAACAGGAAAGTTTAAAAAGAATCAGAAGGTCATTCTCTATTGAAAACCAAATGGTGTTAACCGTTTCAATGCTTTGTTAATCGTAATATTATTCTATCCATGGAATTATCATAAAAAGTTAACCGACTTTTAACAAAGAAAGTTTCTGTAACACCCATAGTTTAAGCAATTATAAGCTCTGAGAAGCAATTTCAACCTGACGGGAAACGGTTCCATATTGGATTGACTATTATGTCCCTAAATAAACACTACGAACTCCTTTTCTTCGAAGAGAACTGTCATACAAGTCTTGTTCAGACTCTTCTGAAAAAGGTAAATTACTTTTCACATTTTCCGAGCCTTCCATTCCGGAACTTCAAGAAAATATGTAACAATTAGCACGCGTGGTACGGCTATTTCGAAATTTGACTGTTTTAAAGAGGGTGCTGCAAAAAACGTATATGAGGTCTTGCTTTTCTATGAGAAGATGGTCTGGCGTGAAACTTTGTGCTCAAAACAGCTTCTGTAAAGTGCTTTTTATTAGCATGTTTTTGTTTTGTCCTTGCAAATATTCTTGCAAGAAAACGCGAATCACCTTGTACACAATCTTGGACAAAGCTGTTGAGAAAATTGTATACTTGGACAGCATTTTTCTAAACATCGTAGCTGTACCGGTTCTTCCCTCTCCCCCTTCCCCTGAAAGCAATGTTGTTGTGTATTCAAAAGAAAGCCTGATGCCTGGGCGTTCGTGGGAAGCAACATTGAATTGGGGGAAGGGTTTTTTCCGCAAAGGCGTCGTTTTGGAAATAGCCTTGTTGCGTAGGAAAGTGGACATGATGGAGAAAACTTTCTCAAGTAGTTTTGTCCGGGATTGTATTTGACTGGGAAAGGCGATTTGCAGCCTTTAACGCAGCCAAATAAGCCTGTTCTTTATAAATGTAGTACATTTCAAAGAAAAGGAGATAATTAATGCAAAATGAGTGAAAGCAGAGGCGTTTATGACAAGAAAACCAATTGGTATGTCTTACTTGATTGGAGTGGTCAGTCAAGAACGTTTGCGAAATTCATTTTCCATGCATGGTTTTTACGCGCGCTTTGAGTGAAGAGTAGCGGGCATACATTGCGCTTTTCGAGGACGAAAAGGACGTTTCCGTCAAGCAGATTAGCTAGAAAACGGGAATTTCACCCACTACGATTCGATCAATAAATAACACATGAAACCTTTGCTGAATTTTCAGAGCGCGTGACCCGACAACTTTGAACAATTTTCCCATCGCCAAAATAGTCAACGGGCAAGCACTTGCAATGAATAAAAGCATCAAATGGCGTGAGGATGAAATATTTACAAAAGCTGCATTTTTACTTTTCACATTTGAATGCTTACTTTTGAAACTGTAGCGATATCCAGTCCAAAGAAACACACTATGAAATCTAGAAATGTCACGCGCGATAACGTGACAAGATGTACTATCGCGTGACCTGTAAAAGTGCACGTTTTGTCTTCGGGTTACATATGACTGGAAAAAAATATGACCTAAATTGATAATTTGCAAACCAAGGCATGATAAAGGTTGCCATAGTTGACTTCTAATCTTTTTCTCTCCACAATATCTGCAAGTCAGAACGATTAACAGGACATATTTGAGCGGCTGCGAAGATTAACTACGGTTAACAACGATTAACAGGAAAGTTTAAAAAGAATCAGAAGGTCATTCTCTATTGAAAACCAAATGGTGTTAACCGTTTCAATGCTTTGTTAATCGTAATATTATTCTATCCATGGAATTATCATAAAAAGTTAACCGACTTTTAACAAAGAAAGTTTCTGTAACACCCATAGTTTAAGCAATTATAAGCTCTGAGAAGCAATTTCAACCTGACGGGAAACGGTTCCATATTGGATTGACTATTATGTCCCTAAATAAACACTACGAACTCCTTTTCTTCGAAGAGAACTGTCATACAAGTCTTGTTCAGACTCTTCTGAAAAAGGTAATTACTTTTCACATTTTCCGAGCCTTCCATTCCGGAACTTCAAGAAAATATGTAACAATTAGCACGCGTGGTACGGCTATTTCGAAATTTGACTGTTTTAAAGAGGGTGCTGCAAAAAACGTATATGAGGTCTTGCTTTTCTATGAGAAGATGGTCTGGCGTGAAACTTTGTGCTCAAAACAGCTTCTGTAAAGTGCTTTTTATTAGCATGTTTTTGTTTTGTCCTTGCAAATATTCTTGCAAGAAAACGCGAATCACCTTGTACACAATCTTGGACAAAGCTGTTGAGAAAATTGTATACTTGGACAGCATTTTTCTAAACATCGTAGATGTACCGGTTCTTCCCTCTCCCCCTTCCCCTGAAAGCAATGTTGTTGTGTATTCAAAAGAAAGCCTGATGCCTGGGCGTTCGTGGGAAGCAACATTGAATTGGGGGAAGGGGTTTTCTTTCCGCAAAGGCGTCGTTTTGGAAATAGCCTTGTTGCGTAGGAAAGTGGATATGATGGAGAAAACTTTCTCAAGTAGTTTTGTCCGGGATTGTATTTGACTGGGAAAGGCGATTTGCAGCCTTTAACGCAGCCAAATAAGCCTGTTCTTTATAAATGTAGTACATTTCAAAGAAAAGGAGATAATTAATGCAAAATGAGTGAAAGCAGAGGCGTTTATGACAAGAAAACCAATTGGTATGTCTTACTTGATTGGAGTGGTCAGTCAAGAACGTTTGCGAAATTCATTTTCCATGCATGGTTTTTACGCGCGCTTTGAGTGAAGAGTAGCGGGCATACATTGCGCTTTTCGAGGACGAAAAGGACGTTTCCGTCAAGCAGATTAGCTAGAAAACGGGAATTTCACCCACTACGATTCGATCAACAAATAACACATGAAACGTTTGCTGAATTTTCAGAGCGCGTGACCCGACAACTTTGAACAATTTTCCCATCGCCAAAATAGTCAACGGGCAAGCACTTGCAATGAATAAAAGCATCAAATGGCGTGAGGATGAAATATTTACAAAAGCTGCATTTTTACGTTTCACATTTGAATGCTTACTTTTGAAACTGTAGCGATATCCAGTCCAAAGAAACACACTATGAAATCTAGAAATGTCACGCGCGATAACGTGACAAGATGTACTATCGCGTGACCTGTAAAAGTGCACGTTTTGTCTTCGGGTTACCTATGACTGGAAAAAAATATGACCTAAATTGATAATTTGCAAACCAAGGCATGATAAAGGTTGCCATAGTTGACTTCTAATCTTTTTCTCTCCACAATATCTGCAAGTCGGAACGATTAACAGGACATATTTGAGCGGCTGCGAAGATTAACTACGGTTAACAACGATTAACAGGAAAGTTTAAAAAGAATCAGAAGGTCATTCTCTATTGAAAACCAAATGGTGTTAACCGTTTCAATGCTTTGTTAATCGTAATATTATTCTATCCATGGAATTATCATAAAACGTTAACCGACTTTTAACAAAGAAAGTTTCTGTAACACCCATAGTTTAACCAATTATAAGCTCTGAGAAGCAATTTCAACCTGACGGGAAACGGTTCCATATTGGATTGACTATTATGTCCCTAAATAAACACTACGAACTCCTTTTCTTCGAAGAGAACTGTCATACAAGTCTTGTTCAGACTCTTCTGAAAAAGGTAAATTACTTTTCACATTTTCCGAGCCTTCCATTCCGGAACTTCAAGAAAATATGTAACAATTAGCACGCGTTGTACGGCTATTTCGAAATTTGACTGTTTTAAAGAGGGTGCTGCAAAAAACGCATATGAGGTCTTGCTTTTCTATGAGAAGATGGTCTGGCGTGAAACTTTGTGCTCAAAACAGCTTCTGTAAAGTGCTTTTATTAGCATGTTTTTGTTTTGTCCTTGCAAATATTCTTGCAAGAAAACGCGAATCACCTTGTACACAGTGTATTTGACTGGGAAAGGCGATTTGCAGCCTTTAACGCAACCAAATAAGCCTGTTCTTTATAAATGTAGTACATTTCAAAGAAAAGGAGATAATTAATGCAAAATGAGTGAAAGCAGAGGCGTTTATGACAAGAAAACCAATTGGTATGTCTTACTTGATTGGAGTGGTCAGTCAAGAACGTTTGCGAAATTCATTTTCCATGCATGGTTTTTACGCGCTTTTTGAGTGAAGAGTAGCGGGCATACATTGCGCTTTTCGAGGACGAAAAGGACGTTTCCGTCAAGCAGATTAGCTAGAAAACGGGAATTTCACCCACTACGATTCGATCAACAAATAACACATGAAACGTTTGCTGAATTTTCAGAGCGCGTGACCCGACAACTTTGAACAATTTTCCCATCGCCAAAATAGTCAACGGGCAAGCACTTGCAAATGAATAAAAGCATCAAATGGCGTGAGGATGAAATATTTACAAAAGCTGCATTTTTACGTTTCACATTTGAATGCTTACTTTTGAAACTGTAGCGATATCCAGTCCAAAGAAACACACTATGAAATCTAGAAATGTCACGCGCGATAACGTGACAAGATGTACTATCGCGTGACCTGTAAAAGTGCACGTTTTGTCTTCGGGTTACCTATGACTGGAAAAAATATGACCTAAATTGATAATTTGCAAACCAAGGCATGATAAAGGTTGCCATAGTTGACTTCTAATCTTTTTCTCTCCACAATATCTGCAAGTCGGAACGATTAACAGGACATATTTGAGCGGCTGCGAAGATTAACTACGGTTAACAACGATTAACAGGAAAGTTTAAAAAAGAATCAGAAGGTCATTCTCTATTGAAAACCAAATGGTGTTAACCGTTTCAATGCTTTGTTAATCGTAATATTATTCTATCCATGGAATTATCATAAAACGTTAACCGACTTTTAACAAAGAAAGTTTCTGTAACACCCATAGTTTAACCAATTATAAGCTCTGAGAAGCAATTTCAACCTGACGGGAAACGGTTCCATATTGGATTGACTATTATGACCCTAAATAAACACTACGAACTCCTTTTCTTCGAAGAGAACTGTCATACAAGTCTTGTTCAGACTCTTCTGAAAAAGGTAAATTACTTTTCACATTTTCCGAGCCTTCCATTCCGGAACTTCAAGAAAATATGTAACAATTAGCACGCGTTGTACGGCTATTTCGAAATTTGACTGTTTTAAAGAGGGTGCTGCAAAAAACGCATATGAGGTCTTGCTTTTCTATGAGAAGATGGTCTGGCGTGAAACTTTGTGCTCAAAACAGCTTCTGTAAAGTGCTTTTTATTAGCATGTTTTTGTTTTGTCCTTGCAAATATTCTTGCAAGAAAACGCGAATCACCTTGTACACAGTGTATTTGACTGGGAAAGGCGATTTGCAGCCTTTAACGCAGCCAAATAAGCCTGTTCTTTATAAATGTAGTACATTTCAAAGAAAAGGAGATAATTAATGCAAAATGAGTGAAAGCAGAGGCGTTTATGACAAGAAAACCAATTGGTATGTCTTACTTGATTGGAGTGGTCAGTCAAGAACGTTTGCGAAATTCATTTTCCATGCATGGTTTTTACGCGCGCTTTGAGTGAAGAGTAGCGGGCATACATTGCGCTTTTTTCGAGGACGAAAAGGACGTTTCCGTCAAGCAGATTAGCTAGAAAACGGGAATTTCACCCACTACGATTCGATCAACAAATAACACATGAAACGTTTGCTGAATTTTCAGAGCGCGTGACCCGACAACTTTGAACAATTTTCCCATCGCCAAAATAGTCAACGGGCAAGCACTTGCAATGAATAAAAGAATGAAAAGGCGTGAGAATGAAATATTTACAAAAGCTGCATTTTTACTTTTTACATTTGAATGCTTACTTTTGAAACTGTAGCGATATCCAGTCCAAAGAAACACACTATGAAATCTAGAAATGTCACGCGCGATAACGTGACAAGATGTACTATCGCGTGACCTGTAAAAGTGCACGTTTTGTCTTCGGGTTACCTATGACTGGAAAAAAATATGACCTAAATTGATAATTTGCAAACCAAGGCATGATAAAGGTTGCCATAGTTGACTTCTAATCTTTTTCTCTCCACAATACCTGCAAGTCGGAACGATTAACAGGACATATTTGAGCGGCTGCGAAGATTAACTACGGTTAACAACGATTAACAGGAAAGTTTAAAAAGAATCAGAAGGTCATTCTCTATTGAAAACCAAATGGTGTTAACCGTTTCAATGCTTTGTTAATCGTAATATTATTCTATCCATGGAATTATCATAAAACGTTAACCGACTTTTAACAAAGAAAGTTTCTGTAACACCCATAGTTTAAGCAATTATAAGCTCTGAGAAGCAATTTCAACCTGACGGGAAACGGTTCCATATTGGATTGACTATTATGTCCCTAAATAAACACTACGAACTCCTTTTCTTCGAAGAGAACTGTCATACAAGTCTTGTTCAGACTCTTCTGAAAAAGGTAAATTACTTTTCACATTTTCCGAGCCTTCCATTCCGGAACTTCAAGAAAATATGTAACAATTAGCACGCGTGGTACGGCTATTTCGAAATTTGACTGTTTTAAAGAGGGTGCTGCAAAAAACGTATATGAGGTCTTGCTTTTCTATGAGAAGATGGTCTGGCGTGAAACTTTGTGCTCAAAACAGCTTCTGTAAAGTGCTTTTTATTAGCATGTTTTTGTTTTGTCCTTGCAAATATTCTTGCAAGAAAACGCGAATCACCTTGTACACAATCTTGGACAAAGCTGTTGAGAAAATTGTATACTTGGACAGCATTTTTCTAAACATCGTAGATGTACCGGTTCTTCCCTCTCCCCCTTCCCCTGAAAGCAATGTTGTTGTGTATTCAAAAGAAAGCCTGATGCCTGGGCGTTCGTGGGAAGCAACATTGAATTGGGGAAGGGGTTTTCCCGCAAAGGCGTCGTTTTGGAAATAGCCTTGTTGCGTAGGAAAGTGGACATGATGGAGAAAACTTTCTCAAGTAGTTTTGTCCGGGATTGTATTTGACTGGGAAAGGCGATTTGCAGCCTTTAACGCAGCCAAATAAGCCTGTTCTTTATAAATGTAGTACATTTCAAAGAAAAGGAGATAATTAATGCAAAATGAGTGAAAGCAGAGGCGTTTATGACAAGAAAACCAATTGGTATGTCTTACTTGATTGGAGTGGTCAGTCAAGAACGTTTGCGAAATTCATTTTCCATGCATGGTTTTTACGCGCGCTTTGAGTGAAGAGTAGCGGGCATACATTGCGCTTTTCGAGGACGAAAAGGACGTTTCCGTCAAGCAGATTAGCTAGAAAACGGGAATTTCACCCACTACGATTCGATCAACAAATAACACATGAAACGTTTGCCGAATTTTCAGAGCGCGTGACCCGACAACTTTGAACAATTTTCCCATCGCCAAAATAGTCAACGGGCAAGCACTTGCAATGAATAAAAGCATCAAATGGCGTGAGGATGAAATATTTACAAAAGCTGCATTTTTACTTTTCACATTTGAATGCTTACTTTTGAAACTGTAGCGATATCCAGTCCAAAGAAACACACTATGAAATCTAGAAATGTCACGCGCGATAACGTGACAAGATGTACTATCGCGTGACCTGTAAAAGTGCACGTTTTGTCTTCGGGTTACATATGACTGGAAAAAAATATGACCTAAATTGATAATTTGCAAACCAAGGCATGATAAAGGTTGCCATAGTTGACTTCTAATCTTTTTCTCTCCACAATATCTGCAAGTCGGAACGATTAACAGGACATATTTGAGCGGCTGCGAAGATTAACTACGGTTAACAACGATTAACAGGAAAGTTTAAAAAGAATCAGAAGGTCATTCTCTATTGAAAACCAAATGGTGTTAACCGTTTCAATGCTTTGTTAATCGTAATATTATTCTATCCATGGAATTATCACAAAAAGTTAACCGACTTTTAACAAAGAAAGTTTCTGTAACACCCATAGTTTAACCAATTATAAGCTCTGAGAAGCAATTTCAAGCTGACGGGAAACGGTTCCATATTGGATTGACTATTATGTCCCTAAATAAACACTACGAACTCCTTTTCTTCGAAGAGAACTGTCATACAAGTCTTGTTCAGACTCTTCTGAAAAAGGTAAATTACTTTTCACATTTTCCGAGCCTTCCATTCCGGAACTTCAAGAAAATATGTAACAATTAGCACGCGTTGTACGGCTATTTCGAAATTTGACTGTTTTAAAGAGGGTGCTGCAAAAAACGTATATGAGGTCTTGCTTTTCTATGAGAAGATGGTCTGGCGTGAAACTTTGTGCTCAAAACAGCTTCTGTAAAGTGCTTTTTATTAGCATGTTTTTGTTTTGTCCTTGCAAATATTCTTGCAAGAAAACGCGAATCACCTTGTACACAATCTTGGACAAAGCTGTTGAGAAAATTGTATACTTGGACAGCATTTTTCTAAACATCGTAGCTGTACCGGTTCTTCCCTCTCCCCCTTCCCCTGAAAGCAATGTTGTTGTGTATTCAAAAGAAAGCCTGATGCCTGGGCGTTCGTGGGAAGCAACATTGAATTGGGGGAAGGGGTTTTCTTTCCGCAAAGGCGTCGTTTTGGAAATAGCCTTGTTGCGTAGGAAAGTGGACATGATGGAGAAAACTTTCTCAAGTAGTTTTGTCCGGGATTGTATTTGACTGGGAAAGGCGATTTGCAGCCTTTAACGCAGCCAAATAAGCCTGTTCTTTATAAATGTAGTACATTTCAAAGAAAAGGAGATAATTAATGCAAAATGAGTGAAAGCAGAGGCGTTTATGACAAGAAAACCAATTGGTATGTCTTACTTGATTGGAGTGGTCAGTCAAGAACGTTTGCGAAATTCATTTTCCATGCATGGTTTTTACGCGCGCTTTGAGTGAAGAGTAGCGGGCATACATTGCGCTTTTCGAGGACGAAAAGGACGTTTCCGTCAAGCAGATTAGCTAGAAAACGGGAATTTCACCCACTACGATTCGATCAACAAATAACACATGAAACGTTTGCTGAATTTTCAGAGCGCGTGACCCGACAACTTTGAACAATTTTCCCATCGCCAAAATAGTCAACGGGCAAGCACTTGCAATGAATAAAAGCATCAAATGGCGTGAGGATGAAATATTTACAAAAGCTGCATTTTTACTTTTCACATTTGAATGCTTACTTTTGAAACTGTAGCGATATCCAGTCCAAAGAAACACACTATGAAATCTAGAAATGTCACGCGCGATAACGTGACAAGATGTACTATCGCGTGACCTGTAAAAGTGCACGTTTTGTCTTCGGGTTACATATGACTGGAAAAAATATGACCTAAATTGATAATTTGCAAACCAAGGCATGATAAAGGTTGCCATAGTTGACTTCTAATCTTTTTTCTCCACAATATCTGCAAGTCGGAACGATTAACAGGACATATTTGAGCGGCTGCGAAGATTAACTACGGTTAACAACGATTAACAGGAAAGTTTAAAAAGAATCAGAAGGTCATTCTCTATTGAAAACCAAATGGTGTTAACCGTTTCAATGCTTTGTTAATCGTAATATTATTCTATCCATGGAATTATCACAAAAAACGTTAACCGACTTTTAACAAAGAAAGTTTCTGTAACACCCATAGTTTAAGCAATTATAAGCTCTGAGAAGCAATTTCAACCTGACGGGAAACGGTTCCATATTGGATTGACTATTATGTCCCTAAATAAACACTACGAACTCCTTTTCTTCGAAGAGAACTGTCATACAAGTCTTGTTCAGACTCTTCTGAAAAAGGTAAATTACTTTTCACATTTTCCGAGCCTTCCATTCCGGAACTTCAAGAAAATATGTAACAATTAGCACGCGTTGTACGGCTATTTCGAAATTTGACTGTTTTAAAGAGGGTGCTGCAAAAAACGTATATGAGGTCTTGCTTTTCTATGAGAAGATGGTCTGGCGTGAAACTTTGTGCTCAAAACAGCTTCTGTAAAGTGCTTTTTATTAGCATGTTTTTGTTTTGTCCTTGCAAATATTCTTGCAAGAAAACGCGAATCACCTTGTACACAATCTTGGACAAAGCTGTTGAGAAAATTGTATACTTGGACAGCATTTTTCTAAACATCGTAGATGTACCGGTTCTTCCCTCTCCCCCTTCCCCTGAAAGCAATGTTGTTGTGTATTCAAAAGAAAGCCTGATGCCTGGGCGTTCGTGGGAAGCAACATTGAATTGGGGAAGGGTTTTCTTCCGCAAAGGCGTCGTTTTGGAAATAGCCTTGTTGCGTAGGAAAGTGGACATGATGGAGAAAACTTTCTCAAGTAGTTTTGTCCGGGATTGTATTTGACTGGGAAAGGCGATTTGCAGCCTTTAACGCAGCCAAATAAGCCTGTTCTTTATAAATGTAGTACATTTCAAAGAAAAGGAGATAATTAATGCAAAATGAGTGAAAGCAGAGGCGTTCATGACAAGAAAACCAATTGGTATGTCTTACTTGATTGGAGTGGTCAGTCAAGAACGTTTGCGAAATTCATTTTCCATGCATGGTTTTTACGCGCGCTTTGAGTGAAGAGTAGCGGGCATACATTGCGCTTTTCGAGGACGAAAAGGACGTTTCCGTCAAGCAGACTAGCTAGAAAACGGGAATTTCACCCACTACGATTCGATCAACAAATAACACATGAAACGTTTGCTGAATTTTCAGAGCGCGTGACCCGACAACTTTGAACAATTTTCCCATCGCCAAAATAGTCAACGAGCAAGCACTTGCAATGAATAAAAGCATCAAATGGCGTGAGGATGAAATATTTACAAAAGCTGCATTTTTACTTTTCACATTTGAATGCTTACTTTTGAAACTGTAGCGATATCCAGTCCAAAGAAACACACTATGAATTCTAGAAATGTCACGCGCGATAACGTGACAAGATGTACTATCGCGTGACCTGTAAAAGTGCACGTTTTGTCTTCGGGTTACATATGACTGGAAAAAAATATGACCTAAATTGATAATTTGCAAACCAAGGCATGATAAAGGTTGCCATAGTTGACTTCTAATCTTTTTCTCTCCACAATATCTGCAAGTCGGAACGATTAACAGGACATATTTGAGCGGCTGCGAAGATTAACTACGGTTAACAACGATTAACAGGAAAGTTTAAAAAGAATCAGAAGGTCATTCTCTATTGAAAACCAAATGGTGTTAACCGTTTCAATGCTTTGTTAATCGTAATATTATTCTATCCATGGAATTATCATAAAACGACTTTTAACAAAGAAAGTTTCTGTAACATCCATAGTTTAAGCAATTATAAGCTCTGAGAAGCAATTTCAACCTGACGGGAAACGGTTCCATATTGGATTGACTATTATGTCCCTAAATAAACACTACGAACTCCTTTTCTTCGAAGAGAACTGTCATACAAGTCTTGTTCAGACTCTTCTGAAAAAGGTAAATTACTTTTCACATTTTCCGAGCCTTCCATTCCGGAACTTCAAGAAAATATGTAACAATTAGCACGCGTTGTACGGCTATTTCGAAATTTGACTGTTTTAAAGAGGGTGCTGCAAAAAACGTATATGAGGTCTTGCTTTTCTATGAGAAGATGGTCTGGCGTGAAACTTTGTGCTCAAAACAGCTTCTGTAAAGTGCTTTTTATTAGCATGTTTTTGTTTTGTCCTTGCAAATATTCTTGCAAGAAAACGCGAATCACCTTGTACACAATCTTGGACAAAGCTGTTGAGAAAATTGTATACTTGGACAGCATTTTTCTAAACATCGTAGATGTACCGGTTCTTCCCTCTCCCCTTCCCTGAAAGCAATGTTGTTGTGTATTCAAAAGAAAGCCTGATGCCTGGGCGTTCGTGGGAAGCAACATTGAATTGGGGAAGGGTTTTCTTCCGCAAAGGCGTCGTTTTGGAAATAGCCTTGTTGCGTAGGAAAGTGGACATGATGGAGAAAACTTTCTCAAGTAGTTTTGTCCGGGATTGTATTTGACTGGGAAAGGCGATTTGCAGCCTTTAACGCAGCCAAATAAGCCTGTTCTTTATAAATGTAGTACATTTCAAAGAAAAGGAGATAATTAATGCAAAATGAGTGAAAGCAGAGGCGTTTATGACAAGAAAACCAATTGGTATGTCTTACTTGATTGGAGTGGTCAGTCAAGAACGTTTGCGAAATTCATTTTCCATGCATGGTTTTTACGCGCGCTTTGAGTGAAGAGTAGCGGGCATACATTGCGCTTTTCGAGGACGAAAAGGACGTTTCCGTCAAGCAGATTAGCTAGAAAACGGGAATTTCACCCACTACGATTCGATCAACAAATAACACATGAAACGTTTGCTGAATTTTCAGAGCGCGTGACCCGACAACTTTGAACAATTTTCCCATCGCCAAAATAGTCAACGGGCAAGCACTTGCAATGAATAAAAGCATCAAATGGCGTGAGGATGAAATATTTACAAAAGCTGCATTTTTACTTTTCACATTTGAATGCTTACTTTTGAAACTGTAGCGATATCCAGTCCAAAGAAACACACTATGAAATCTAGAAATGTCACGCGCGATAACGTGACAAGATGTACTATCGCGTGACCTGTAAAAGTGCACGTTTTGTCTTCGGGTTACATATGACTGGAAAAAAATATGACCTAAATTGATAATTTGCAAACCAAGGCATGATAAAGGTTGCCATAGTTGACTTCTAATCTTTTTCTCTCCACAATATCTGCAAGTCGGAACGATTAACAGGACATATTTGAGCGGCTGCGAAGATTAACTACGGTTAACAACGATTAACATGAAAGTTTAAAAAGAATCAGAAGGTCATTCTCTATTGAAAACCAAATGGTGTTAACCGTTTCAATGCTTTGTTAATCGTAATATTATTCTATCCATGGAATTATCATAAAAAGTTAACCGACTTTTAACAAAGAAAGTTTCTGTAACACCCATAGTTTAACCAATTATAAGCTCTGAGAAGCAATTTCAAGCTGACGGGAAACGGTTCCATATTGGATTGACTATTATGTCCCTAAATAAACACTACGAACTCCTTTTCTTCGAAGAGAACTGTCATACAAGTCTTGTTCAGACTCTTCTGAAAAAGGTAAATTACTTTTCACATTTTCCGAGCCTTCCATTTCGGAACTTCAAGAAAATATGTAACAATTAGCACGCGTGGTACGGCTATTTCGAAATTTGACTGTTTTAAAGAGGGTGCTGCAAAAAACGTATATGAGGTCTTGCTTTTCTATGAGAAGATGGTCTGGCGTGAAACTTTGTGCTCAAAACAGCTTCTGTAAAGTGCTTTTTATTAGCATGTTTTTGTTTTGTCCTTGCAAATATTCTTGCAAGAAAACGCGAATCACCTTGTACACAATCTTGGACAAAGCTGTTGAGAAAATTGTATACTTGGACAGCATTTTTCTAAACATCGTAGCTGTACCGGTTCTTCCCTCTCCCCCTTCCCCTGAAAGCAATGTTGTTGTGTATTCAAAAGAAAGCCTGATGCCTGGGCGTTCGTGGGAAGCAACATTGAATTGGGGGAAGGGGTTTTCTTTCCGCAAAGGCGTCGTTTTGGAAATAGCCTTGTTGCGTAGGAAAGTGGACATGATGGGGAAAACTTTCTCAAGTAGTTTTGTCCGGGATTGTAGCGTTAACCAGACCTGGAGGACGTTTGCGATCTCCGATAAAGCGACGTCAATGTTGCAGGGTAATTACAGAAAAGAGCGCGGCAATCGAGAAGCCCTGTGGAGGAGGTTGCATTAGCTCAATTCGGTAGAGCTGGAGAAATATAATAACGGAAAATTCTATACATTTTGTTAAGAAGACCCACTGATAAAACATAGCAACATAGCAAGAACAGCAGAAGTACAACTCAACGAAAGACAACTGCTATTAGAAGAATATCTGATAGTCAAAACATGTTTATGTCCTGAATTTGTCAAGAGAAAGGCAAATGAAGACGGGAAGTTTACATCAATCGAGGTGAGCATGCTATAGATAACAATTATTCACCGAAGTGGAGGTGGCTAGTCGTGGTAATTTACCTAACGGCGAAACGGTGAGTTAAATAGCCACGACTAGCCACCGACACTGAGGTGAATAATTGTTTTAGTATGTACTTGAACAGTGAGATAATTGAGCACAAAAATGATGATTTTTAACTCAAATACTGTTGCCAACGATTACAATTTTGGCGCGTAATGACCGGGCGTTCGCGGCCGTCGCTTTTTCTTGCCCACAATTAAAACTTTTGAAGGCATTTGTTTAGCTCTTGCGGGGAAATTTCTTCAAAAGAAGTTGTGAATTCTTTTTGTATTTAAAATCATTGTATAAAAAAAGATTTTTAAGTTTAGTTTTAAGCTTATTTATGAACAACTCAACTAAATAAAGTAACGCAAGATTTAAACTTAATTTGCATTTGTAAACAAAAAACTTTTTCACCGGTTTTATCGATAAATTCGTGTCAAAAAGACAAAGCTTTACCTGTTAAATCTTCCAATCCGAACTTCGTCACCTTCTTCGTGTATTTCGGAAACAGCTTGCTTGATTAGTTGTGAAATTTCTTTGTTTGTTTACGGCAGCAAACCGGGAAGGCATTTTGCTCGCAACTTACGCGAGTTTGGCGTCGCTCGCTCGGAGGAACTGGAGGTGAATCATTGAATAGTGCAGGATATTCATTGATTGAGTAGCCAATCAGAGCGCGAGAAAAACACTATCCACTGTTTTAGTATATACTAATTTGTTTTAGTGACTTATTTTGAATGAATAATGAGGCAGTTGTTCAATTCTTCTTTCGTATGATCTCAAGAATTATGCAGAACTCGAAGGGTGATGTTATCCCCATAAGCCGACACTCTCCTCGATCTACGTACATAAGTCTTCAGAATAATGGCTCGAGAAATGTTATTACTATGTGGAACAATCTGCGTATAATTATCCAGCAAACCCAAAGTTGAGAGATTTTAGCGTTAGTGGTTTGAAGGGAATTTTTCGAGAGAAAGTTTTCACCGTAAAATTTTATGTATTGTTTATATTTTGTTTGTTTATTTGTTTTACAGATGTGTGCTCGAGAGGATGTCGATTACTAAGGCCAAGAGATTAACTCAAGGCTCGACAAAATTGAGGCTGAATTAGGCGGTCAAGAGATAAAATCAAGACTCGACGAAATCGAGGCTAAATTCGGCCAAGAGATGAAATCAAGACTCGCAGAAGTGGAGTCTAAACTTGAATGTTTTGATAAAAAGATAAAAGGTGTGCGTGAATGTTGTGAGAAAAATCTAAGTATGATGGAAACCTTGCTAAAAAAAATAAGCGCATAGGAAAAGAAACTATAATGATCCTCAGATTAGATGATACAAACATTGAAACGGAGCAATGTACTGCATTCGATTTCTTTGCTATTACTTTGTTTGTGCATGCTATTTAGAAGTGATAGAGTTGCGGAGTAGTGAAGGTAATTCTTTACTTCTGGACATATAACATTTGCAGATTTAAAATCGGGCAGTGTAAAACGCAGACTGCGGACCATTGTTCTTACCATGCAAATAAGTATGTGACAACAATAGTCCCATTGCCGGTTTTCCAATCCTTGAAAACAATACTCCGCAGTCATTCCACAGTCTACAGTTTACACTGCTCTTTTAAAAACACAGCGCCCAGAATGCTGTTTTCTTTCGCGACATGTAGTCACAGTGCCCAGTCTGTCAATGCACCGAATGATAGTTGAATAAATTAAGCCTTTGTGAATCTAGCGAGCCGCTCGATAGACAATCGGTGGCTTTCAAGCAAACTGTTTGATGCGAGAATGTTAGATCTCATGGTGTAAAAACGTGAGCAATGACCCGCAAATTAAAGGCGGGACGCGCTCTCGGAGTGAACTGAGCGCCCTGTCCAAAACATTTCTCCCAAAACATGCTTCTTTAAAGACGTTGTCAAAATGCAAAATTATAAGCTTTAGGCGCCATTACAACTTGAGCTAGTTGTAGTATTATTGCCATTTGGATAAGTTTCAAGCATTTCCAGTCAATAATGCATGTAGTAATATAGACGAATCAACTCTCCTGCAAATATACCAAGTAATACTGTACAGCTACTAGTCTTGGCTTACATCGTAGCAAGATACGAAAAAGATAAATCAACACGGCAACTGCACCAAAGCCAGCGACCAGGTTCATTAGTGGAGAATAGTGAGGAATACACTAAAATTAATCAACAAAAACACAAGCAACCCACCCAAAATATCCTTTACGCTGCAAATGCTAATGGGCCATCCTTCAAGATGGAATCTATTCCTCGAAAATCAAAGGAACCATTAAGAAACAAGCCAAAGCTAAAATTCAGAGTTTACACGGCTTAACCTTTTCTCTTTCTTTGCATTTATTGTTGTTAATTTAGAACTCCTCATTTGGGTGCGGAGAATAGGCCTAAATGACCGCAGCAATTACGTATAGACTTTGGTTGGTACTCATTGCCGTAAATACGGGTAGACCACCCCTTTTTCTCGGACAAACGGCTAGGCCACCGAGTCGAACTAGGATACCATTCACTCTATCTAGGAAATTGTTATCGCCTTTTAGAGTCAACTCTCCTTAGCTAAGACGAACACCGATTTCTCTCTTATAGGAAGTTAAATTACAGTTAAATGACTGAAGAACGGCAGGAACCAACGTCGGTAGTAGAGGTTATCGTTGAAAGAGAGCTGGGTTTATATAACCAGGTGGAAAAAAGCGTTTGCCTACCCGTACCCAAAAATAGGTATGCGAAACGTTAAAAAAAATCTTAAAGTCCCTACGGAAAGAAAGGTGGTGAAGTTTGAGTAGTTATAATCACCTTCCAAATAGCATATCAACTAAACTAAAGAGCAAAAAAAAAAATGACCACTGATGGTTTTGCTCCTTTTCTTTAGCAGATCATAGCTAACAACTGATTATTACAAGCGTAAGCAAGAGTCTTAATTTTAGTTCGATTTCTTACCACATATGCGGCTATCGCATTTTTTTTCTTTTTAGCGTCGTCCGACCGACCCAAATATTTGGCATAAAAATAATAAACGACAGTTAAACCTTCCTTGACATTATCTTATTCTTTTGAGCTGAAAAAGCAGCATTGTAACAGCACATTCTGGTATAGAGGTTTTGGTGATGTATCCATTTTGCTTTTTACTATTATGAGATCCACCATTAAATTTTCCGCCACGTTGAGTTTATGTCAATTTGGTGACCATGTCTCATTGTCTCCACGCTCCACGGCAATGATACTGGGGTTTCAGGCCTCCTAACGTATTCGACGTTAAAGGGAAAGGAAGGGAATGGCCTTACAGATAAAATTCATAGTGTTTGTCTGTCGCTTGACTGCTTTTCGACGGAAGCTTTTTTTTTTTTCGTAAGACTCCAAAAACAAGCTTTCTCGTCTTCATATAGTTTGCGGTTCCCATAATCATTGCCATTGACTAATTGACACCCTTTTTTTTTCTTTTGCTGCAAACAAAAGAAGAATGAGATCGGTACATTAAATAATACTTAACATTTTTATCTTCAAAATTTTTAACAGAAGCCTTGAGTCCTCTTAAAGTGGCTCGACTGGATCTTTTAGGGAGTATACTTCCCCACTTTTAGCGTTTACCTCGTCAGCATTAATAAAGATATCGGAAAAAGATTACCACAGCTATACTGCATAAACATTAAAATTTGTTGCGATCTATTTTTTATTGACAACGGAGTTGCCATGGCATGTTTATTCATTGTTTTTATGACCCTTAAAACTTCGATTCAAAATATTTCCAAACGTTCTCGTATAATTGGTTCAAACTTTGCCTTAATTGAGGCAACTAAGGTGGGGTACAAACATGCAAGTTCCCTGTAGCGATCTCAGATAAAAACACCTGGTACCGAGACAGACAAAGGAAGGTAAAAAAAAAATGGAATCATAACGTTGCCACAGCAACTCCGATGTCAAGGCATGAATCATAACAAATTTTCATCTTGATATAATAGAGCTATGCTAACCTTTATCCGATGTCTTTGTTAATGCCGACGTGGTAAATACTCAAATTTAAGAGGTATCCACCCTAAAAAATCCAGTCCAGCTAGCTTAAATCAGCTCAAAATGTCTCAGATCTTTTATATCCTGTTATCTTGTTTTGGCTCTAATCCTGCAAATTAAAATGTTGATCAAGCTGTTTTCCAACACAGCGTACCAGTGAGTGTACACGTACGTACCTTGCGTTTGATTAGGCATTGTTTTCCCTTTGCCTAATCATTTACTCACCCTCGTTGTTTTAATGACCCCGATGGGGTGGCAAATTTTACGGTCACTGATACTTTGTCGTCGATAAGGCCGTAGCCTTGCCTGAATTGAATAGCTTATGAGTCGTGTTTGGCCTGTCAACTCTTATTTCTAACTGTGATATTTTTAGACAGCGCTCCGTCATAACAAGGGCACCCAACGCCAATTTTCGGAAAATGTCTGTTCGGAATACGATTTGAGATCGAGAATTTTCGGAACATTTGTTGCAAAATTTCTTGCTTGCCTGCCTCTCCTAAGCCTTCGAACGTCTAAAAAGTGGTATAATTGCCCATTTTTAACGGATTTTTACCCTAAAAAGGTCACCAAGAATTTTCGGGAGACTTTTTTTCTGGCTGAAATTTTCGAAAAAGTAAGTTTTGATCCCTATAGTTTTCGGATCACTAGACTTTCAGCTAGGAAATCCAAACAGATGAAAAATTTTTAGGGGATAAAAATATGCCTATATCTACCGTTTAAATACTAAAATACCTTTAAAAATCCTATGTTTAAGTGGTTTTCAGCTTTATTCTCGTTGGGTGCCCCTGTCATAACTCGTGGGAAGAAATCTCATCAACAGAACGCACTCGGGTGATTATGAGAAAGTTACGAGAAAATATCACGGATCTCTTGAGAAAGACACTTTCAAACTCTCACACACACTACATGTCAATGACCCCGCATCACTGCGACCTAGTCAGCTACCATGCATCATACCCGTTCAGCCCGAAAAAAGCGTTTTTGGCCTTAAAGAAAACACAACATAACGCGGATCGAAGAGACACTTACGCTATTGGTTACTTTTTTGCAGCCAATGGCAGGTCAGTATTTTCGATCCTAGCCACCAGTATTTAAACAGCCAGTTTCTTCGCTCTCTGCACCAAAGACTTTACCATAGTAGCAACTGACAAGGAATGCTATAGTTTCGAAACTACAGTCCTGCTTAAGAATTCAGAACAGTCACGTAGACTGTTAAGCAAAAAAACAAAAGTAATTACCCACGAAGGAACAACAAGACATCGCGCTCTAGTTCAAAGACTCACTTATGTTAAGAAAACCTAGAGGGAATGTATCAGCGCTAAGAGAATGATCTTGACTGACGCACAGCATATTTCTCCATACTTGGTGCAGCATTAGTTAAAGCTACACTGTGGAACTCAAATCTGAAGATCGCGCTTTTCGTGAAAATTCAACATCCTGCAAAGCAGAGACTTTAGAGCTGGGCCCAGAGTCATACTGACATGGCAGGAAATAATCACATTCACGAACAAAGAAAATTTTATGCATGCATGTGGTTATTCAGATCCAGGCATTTCGGAGAAAACCAAAGAAACTAAAGTCTTTATTTAACCGTCATGAACAGAGGCCAAAGAAAATTAAGACACTTTACAACTGCATCTAAAATCAAATCCTATCAGAAACACCTAGAGAAGCATAAACCACTGGAAATGATTACTCAGTATGAGTAACAAACTCGTTCAAGACCTCTGAATGTAAAAGTTAGTGCGGCAAAAAAAGGATTTACTCAGTCAAAGTTTAGAAGAATACTACATGCACTGCGTAGTGCTAGTAACCTTCATGCGAGAGAGAAAAGAAAAAAAAGAACTTCTGTTCAAGCAGACTCTCAAGGTAACGTTTTCGCATGATCACGAGCTTATGAGTCGTGTTGGCCAGTCAACAATTGCTTCTAAAGTGATGAGCTGTAAACTCAGCTGTTCGTACGAAAAAAAAAAGAATAGATTGAGAGCATGTATTCAAATTATTCATTCGCAAATTTAATACTTAACCCTTGGATGTACAAGCCCCCCCGGCCCCGTAAGGTTTTTCTGAGGTTTTTTCCTAGAGGATAAGACATCAGCCCCTGATGATTTCAGTAGCTGTTCGTTCATCCCTCGCGCAGATTTGAGATAAGTGTAGCTATGGTTACGAGATATGACGTCATAATTTGCAGGTGGTCAAACCAATTTTGGGCGAAAATACATGTTTTTTCAACTTTTTTCAACAATAAAAGTAAATTTTGTGTTATTTTTCACTTAAAGCACGAAAAATTACCATTTCTCGCAGTTTTAACCTGATTTCTAATTCTCGGTAAACTC